ATCTTATAGTTGATCTATCGTTGTTGATGCATAGTCAGCCCGTTTGTATCGTACGAACGATGTTTTTGAACCAAGGTTGTTTTTATATTTGGCGACGCATTGCCCAATTCTTAGTTTCGAACATAGTGATAACAATCACCAGTGAGTATTTCATATATGGTACACCCACAATAGCAAAAACTGTTTTTTATATGTTCTCTCAGGGTCTATACAGATCATAATGCATTACAAAACAAGTAAATCCCGAGATAAAACGCCTGCATAGTACCAACAGTAAATAGGTGTAACCATCTTATACTTACCTAAAAAAGCTTAGCATTTAAAAGCCGCGGGATTCAGTTTCGGTCTCAAGAGGCATGAGCTCACATTTCTATTTGCACATTTATGAAAATAATTTCAAACTAATCAATTCATCCTACATATATGATTCATGCCAGCTGACGTACCTAGACAAGGCTACTTTGGCAGTAACATAAACCCCCGAAAGGTTCTAGATGGTACCGTTTTTACGTTCCATCTCTAATAAGAATATGAAATTGTACGATATGAACACCTCGAATCACCGTAGGCCCTGTCTGTGGCCTGAAGGTGAGTGATGCCGTCTCGATAAAGGCAAACAAGCATAGCGGATAAATATTTCCCTCTTATGTGTTCGTCATAACCTGCTATTTGAAGTCTTAGATTCTGCATGATTCTGTCATAAATATGGTAACATTGTGTTAATTATATTCCATACTTTCTATATAGTGTTGATTTGGTACTAACTTGATTTGATACTAACATCCACTGGCGCAATGTCACATTGTTTACATCGAAAAAAAATTTAATTGGCTGGACAAAGTTGTATTTCGCATAGATTGCATTTTTGTGAGCAAGGGCGCAAGGTTCTTAGGGGCCTTTTGACATTAGCCTAATCGTTGGTACTGGCCTGTGAGATATATATTATTTGAATGTGGTTACCGTTTGCCTCGAAAGGTTAGAGAACGAAGGTGGCACGCCGGTTTCAAAGACGAGCAGGAAGCACTGGCGGTTTTACAACAATGTTATCGTTCTATATTTACAACATGGAGCCGTGGTGTTTTGCAGCCGTTGTCGGATACCTCTAGTGACATTTTATCGATCGTTTATTTGTTTGTATTGGTAACGGTATGTGTTCTTGAATCTGTATGCATGAGCTACCCTTTGTTGGAGATATTTCCCCTTTTTCCGCATTCAACAGAATACGTTGGGCCAATGTCTGGATCGGATGGGAGCCACTGTATTATCTCGATGGCCGAGGGTCGCTTCTACATGTGTAATCAACTTTTACATCCGCCTATCTCTGTTTCGATGTGTAACATATATATATATATACACTATCCGCTCCTCTGAATACACTGTAGGGTTCAGCTTGATTTCAGAAAAATTCATTCCTTTACCAATGACCATTCCTTTTTACAGCGAATAGAAGTAACGTTTGGTCTTACCGGTGGGCAACGTATTGTTCCTTATCTACTCGTTGACCATCAAAGTAGAGAAACTATCCTCAAATATCCTGCAAGTTTAGCATTAGTTTAAAATCTTCCATACAACCGGGCTTATCGATTCGAACATGGACGTGGCACAAAGCCAACACTTCCGTATTCACAACCGAGACAAAATGTGAAAAAAGTAGCTAATCGTTTTTGCTCAAATTGCGCCGAATAGTACGAAAGATACGGGCTCTTCGCCTCTAGATATTAATCTGTGTTCAAAAGCGTTCTCCCCGCAAACAAGTACTCACAGCAGAGATTCGGTCGATTCAATCCATCGGCGTTACTAATTTTTCGTAGAGTAAGTACGTGTTCGGATATTCGTGTTTTTAAAATCGTTTAATGATCGTTCGACGGCCTTCTTAAGTTTAGAGAAGTTTTACCGATTTACTAAAATACTGCTAATGCAAATCCAGCCTTCAGTTGTTGGTAAGTCCTTCGATTTGCAGAAATATATATGTTCATTCCCGAGAAATTGCAAATAGCCAAAATCGACGGTTCAGACAGCTGTTTCTATCACAATAGATGGCGTAGCTAGTAGTTCTTTTTATTGAAATGAAGAAGTTATTCAACGATCAGGCGACATGGCGCGTTGAGTCGACTCCGATTGAGTCTCGATAGGAAAAACGCTCTTTTTCTTATTGCCGTTCTAAACACTACATTTACCCATCCATCCATTTCCACGTCTCCCTCGAGTTTCTCTTCGTATGTTCTTTTCGCTCCTTCGTAGTACCAGCGCCACAACTATAGAAGTGTGAGCCTTGGTAGCAATTCGCATCACGTAAAGATGGCGCCAGCGTGTGTTACTGCTGCCGCTGATGATAGTACTAGGAAATAGTACTACTAGAACATCGGCTACTTGAGGCGAGCTGTTCCCTTGGGGACCGACTGTCTCTGGTACGCCTACTCGACCAGAATCAGCATCTCGGCCATCTTTACTGGCCCCTCCTCTGAACAATTAACGGGATAGGGAACTGTAAGTGAGCGAGTTATATCGAGAACACGCTCAACATACGTCAAGACTTTCACTGGCCATATTCTCTATTCTGAAGTGGCAATGACCGTACAGTTTCTGGCTTCGGGTCTGGCCTTTCCGGTACTCTATGAGGCGCCTGTCTACGATGAAGTATGTGAATAGCAGAAACATCAACCAACTACGTACGGTAGCCTATCGCTCGTGGCTCAAAAGGGCGATCGCTCTATTTCTTGTACTCAAAATGTCACCGTTAAAGAAGGCAATGCCTCCTTAACGCCTATTAGCTGTTGCCTATTAGCTACGTTGTTCTCATCGACAAATCCGCTAGAAGTATACAGTGGAAGTAGTTCTTTAATTTGGGACACGATAAAATCAAGTCAAAATGCTTGCATCGAAGAAATGAAGAGAACCACAGTTTCACAACGTATGACAACGTACGATTTTTGCGAACCGCATAACGAGGGCAATCATTATAATTTAATGAACGAATACGGCCTGTGCTTTTAGTCTATCTGCGTTATTCTTTTAATGTTTGTCTTAGAGCCGTTACATCACTGTACTATTTGCACTGTTTTTTTTTTTTTTTTTTATGTAGCACCGGGAGTCGACGTCAGCGTTTAACAAAGACTCTAACTGATAACCAAAACTTTGAATCTATGCGGTGTAGATGTTTTTTTTTTTAACGAAATGAGCCCTGCACGAATTCGCCAGCCTTGTACGCATCAGATGTGGCAGGATTTAAAGAACAGTTGGTGACTAAACATCTCATATAAAAACTTCTTTTAGCTTTATATTCCGGGATTAGTATTAGCAGACGACGTAGCTTTGACCGCGCACATCTATTAAGACGTCAAAGTCCTTTTCAATATTGTAACTCAATTTGCGAACAGTATTCAGAGAACATTTACCCTAAAAATTGCAATACTAACCTTCCCAAGAGAGGTAATCAATTTTAAAAGGACCCTGTAAACCCAAGCAAAGTTTAGAAATTTCGCTGGACTAAAACCATAACTCCGTGTCCAGGGAAGGTTAACGTACGACACATCTGAGATTTTCCTAGAGGACACGGGAAGGCCACACACAGCACCGCCTAACCTGATGTACGGAAACACGGTATCAGCAATGCCAATACTTAAAAGGCAAAAAAGTATTTGAAAGAAACTAAAAGGAGGTGGCTAAATGGGCGCTAGAAATACGCAGGATATTCCGTTGCGTGAAAATTCATAGAAAAAGGATACAATCCAGCGCTTTAAAAAGTGTAGCAAAATGCCCACTTTACTTAAAATATGGAGCCACTAACTTTTTGAGAAAATAACGGCAACGCCACATTAACGATTACTCAAGTACACACTAAAACAGATAGGATCCTTTAATCGTAGATAAATCAAAAGAACCGCATAACTGGAAAAGCTATACAAGTTTCAAGATTTTGGGTTCGCTTTTGATGAACCAAGAGCTATGTCTGAAGCGGTATCACCCAGTAAAAATGTTTGCAAGGAGTAAATGAACGTACGACGACCCCGCAATGAGAAAGGTGGTGGAAGCGTCTCACAGCTAGTATAGACACATGCGGAAATGCAACCCGAACGAGAGACACCCTGAGCGTACGTAAGTAGATTATCAAGAGTGGGATAGAAGCAAACGCATAGAAGATGGATACAGGTCGCCATGGCTAAACGAACACTTGTAGCGGCTGGAACTATTGTGTAGGGGATCTTGGAGTCTGATACTCGAAAAATCCGCTGAGCTAATTACCCCATTAACTCGAGTGGCATAGCACAAGACTGTCATATAGGGAAACACTGTCCTAATACATTGCCGATACGTCGAAGTACGTACTATCATACCATGCCGTCTACACCGCTGGACGACGTAGGCCAAAGTATTTAGAAAAATCTATCTGAAATTGTAGTTCGGAAAATATTTCTTCAAATATTGTTGTTGTCCTATCTGAGTCAAATGTTCTCATTTTTAATAGGGCAGACAATCGACTTTATTTAGTGACAAATCTAATTGACTTGATGTTTGTACTGTAATTGATTGCTGTGCATCGTCTCTTATTGCTTACACAATTCCCAGAGGTTTGTTGAATAGAAAATATCTATTACATATCAGAGGATGCTAATTTTCATTGCAAAAAAGGGTCGTTGTCGCCTCTGCATTTCAACAATTCATTGCAGCCTCAGTCACCGGCTTGCCTCGTCTCCGAATCTCTTTATCTCTGTTCAACCCGACTGTTGGATGCAAACGTGTCCAGCATGCACCGGCTTGAACGATGTGAGGCAACAAATAATCGAGTAATCCTGATGACAGTTTCCCTCGCTCGCTTAAACCTTCTTCAACGATATTGGACGGCTGGTGATAACAGTGCAATGTCGTCCTGCCTCTGTGTTTCCTTCGCTTTGTAGTCTCTCCCTTCCAATTGTCATGCTCTCCGTAGCGGCCCTCAGTATCTCAGTTAATTGCTGTGTTGCTGTATCTCTATTCATTGCGTTTCTCTTTCTCTTTTTCAGCCGTTGTTTGCCCTCCCCACATTTCGCCGGCGATGCTAACAACAACCGCGGTCCTCCCGGCCACTCCGGGCAGCCACGCGAGCGCGCCCGCCACGACCAGCTGCGGTTCCGCCAGTAACAACTCCCTTCCTGGCACGACCAGCTCCTCGCCACCAGCACCGCTATCAACATTACTCCAGCCGCCGGTGATTTTAGTATGTCCCCCATCCACATCATCGTCGGCTGAAAGGCCATCTTTCGACGTCATCGAGAAAACCCCCCGCGCGACAACCACGACTGCTGGTAGTAGTAGCAGTAACGGCACTGGCAGCGGTGTCTCCTTCGAGTATATTGATAACGGTGACAATAGTTCGATCAGTAGGTCGAATGATACATCTGCTACAACTTACTCGAACTGTATTGAGTCCACGTTACAGCAGTCGTTGCCGGCACTAATAATTAGTTCCTCTGAGTTGAGCAAGTCCGAATCACTGGGTTCAGCGCAGATGCCAGCATTTTCAGTATCGTCGCCAGCAACAGCCATACCTACAGGGGCGTCAACTTCTACGTCTACTTCAACCTTATCGACATCACCGTTATCCTCATCATCCGGAAGTGAATCGAGTGGCGGTCCTCGAGTTCGTCGTAGGGGCACAGCGAACGGCATGTCTCTTGAGCTGTACACACAGCAGCCGACGCAGGTGTTTCGGCTACCAGCAGCGGCTCAAGACCCAACGCCTGCTGCAACCTTGGGCCAGATGTTAGATTGCCGTTTCCCCGCTCAAGCTCATGACACAACGAGTATCTATGTGGCTGCTCAGAGGCGGCAGCGCCTGCAAAAGGAAAAAGAGCCTACTAGACGGTCATCAACAAATGTTCCGCCATCAAAAAGTTGCTTATCACCTAACTCGTCTCGCTCAGAGCCAACGTCACCAACAAAAGTCAAGCGTAAAGTGTCGTTTGCCGACGACAAGGGCCTTTCGCTAACTGAAGTCCGAGTGATGAAAAACGAAATTAATGAGCTGCCTCGTTGGACACAGCAGCTACTCTTCCAGTCACTTCCGACGCGCAACGAAAGCACCGTTATCAACACATGGGATCCTTTGTTTCCGCAACCTGCTTCAGATTATCTCGCGTTCCGGAAGCGCATCGAGGAAAACAACGTGGCCCTGGAAAACGTCATCGTTAAGAAAGATGACGACCTCCTGACTGGTACGATTAAAGTAAAAAATCTCACCTTCGAAAAACACGTGTTTGTGCGAGCGACGTTTGATTGCTGGGCAAGCTACTGCAACTATCCGGCAATTTTCGTCTCTCAAGGCACGTGTCCCGTGCCAGCGCTCTTTGATACGTTCTCATTTAGTATCAAAGTACCAGCGAGCGCCGCACGATATGGCATCATCGAATTGTGTGTCGGTTACAAAACGCCCCACAGAGAATACTGGGATAGTAATGGCGGTAAGAACTACAAGCTTGCCTCGGTGACACGCCGAACCTCAGACAACACTTCTCCAGTAGTGGCTGCGACCCAAGTTGGATTTATTCCGCCTGTGCATAAACTTGCCTCCTACTCTACCTCGGACATTGCTGGTTGGACCGATTTTTCATCGTGGAATCAAATCCTTTCGCAGGGGCCGTATTGGTAAATCAGACAAAGCGTACAACAGATCACATCATGATTGCGAACCGACCAAGTACACGAAAAATATTGAATCGTTTCAAAAATCTATTGTTATCTATTCGCGCTTTTCAGTGAAAAGTAAAAAATTTCATACAGTTTTCCCGTCAGAGAAAATTTACCGATGCCTTTTCAAGTAGACTTCCATCGTTGTCAGGAAAGGTAGTGAAACTGTGGTCTTTCTGTAGAAGAGCCTGTTACTTCTGCAAATCAAACAATGGAAGCAGCAACCTACATATGGTGATGATTAACTTTATTATTATGGTTGTTACTTCTACAATAATACAATTTGTATTTAATAGTAGTGTGTTGGTTAGTAAGTGTGGCAAAGAATGCGTTTCTGTAGGCGCCAGTATTTAAACGTGTAGACCCACTGATCGACGCACGACAATAAACCACAATGACAACTAAACAAAGAGGACTACTTGTGCGGCTATTTTGGACCATGCATTGCTGGCATGGATTAAGGCCACAAAACTGCAGCTACTGCGCCGAGATGGCTGAAGACCCCGCCTTACGTTGCTAAAAGAGGAGGCTTTATCACCCAAACCCGGCAGTTCTTTGATTATCAACCGTGTGGCTTGGCAGTCAGTCTTAAGCACGCACATATCCTCCCGCGATCGATCCATCGACCAATTGGTGTAATACAGTCAGTTGAGTACTAATATAAGAGGACGTTTGCTGACCATGGAAAAGCAGGCGTCCGGCTAGTGAAAGCAAAGGTGTAGATAGCTGGTGACGGGACGATGACACAAATGAATGCTCTCCCTCTCTAGAGCGTCCACCTCGTCCTTACATGCTACCACACTCGCCATATGTATGGATTATATGGGGCGTGCATATCTGATGGCGCCTGTGCACGCTGGCTAGCATATAAGTCAATGAATGATTTCCCCAGATAGAAGCACCCCACTTCCTTATAGGTATCAAAGGTGACGGGAGTGCAGAAGAAATAGGCCCCGAAAATCGCACATCACAAAGCACATTTTATTAGCGCTTACGTCCTGCTTACACCTATTTGATATTTATTAAATAGCTGAATTATCGCAGAACATTTGCCTAAGTGAACATCAAAGGAATATTTCTAAACGAGATCAACTATTTGGTTTTTAGTCCAAACATAGAATCGATGGTATTTACTTAGTACGAACTTTGAGTATATTCGCTTATAATAATTGTCCCGGAAAAACTTTGCAGTCATCTAAGATCCTCGAACTTAGCCGTCGGGATCCGTATCGAATGCAGGCGAAGATATTCGAGCACGCAGAGCGTCTGACACTCATTGTGTTTGTAATAATAGGTATGACTGAGGATTTCCATATCCATGGGACCTTGTAACACCTTTAAAACGTATTAGCCTGTGTAAACAGCGATGACTAAGCCAGGACAAATTGAAATGCTGGAAAATAGTTCAAGCACACATTTACACACATATATAAATTACTGGACTTACATCGATTAATGCGAAGGGCATTTTCGCAAAAAGCTGAAAACTTAAATCTGTGGGAAACACATGACATGTGTTTTGAAAGGTTATCTCTGATGGCCTTAGTAGCAATAATATCTGTGAAATAGCCAGAAACTTATAGCTGCCGAGGAAGACAGTTCATGGAGGTTATAAAAAATCCTGAACGATATTCTTTAAGGTTGCGAGAATCAAAATAATTACATTTCTATATATTTCTATCTTACACATTTTATTATAATAATTGCTCAGGGCAGCACTTACAGAACTGTGTGACCTTGAGGATCGTATCTTCTATATTCGAGGTTGTTTTATTTCGCATATGGGATAAAGCGAATACTTCCAATGTATAGTAAGGAAAACCTGTGCATAATTTGAAAAATAGTACACTCATTGGCTTCATTAGCCACCGTAAAGGCAAGATGTTACACAATAGTTGTTAACGGACATTTACGATGCAACAACAGTCCTTGAGAGGCAGCTTTAAAATACGTACACTACGTGCTCTCTTCTGTAAGTCGACAAAAGAGGGAGAATGCTTTGCTACAAGAGAAACAACAGAACTGGGAAAGAATTGTCTCAACGACGATGACAGATAAATCTAAACAAAATAATCACTATGATAAGCGATGAATAACACTTTTACAGATTAGATTCGGCATCCGCTCTGAACTGATGCCTTATATATACACACATATATATCCCTTCTAGCTAATCCAGTAATACGAAATACACGACTTATACATCTGCGTAGAACATTATTTCTAGACAAATGAATTTAGCAGCTACAACAACAAGAGAGTCAAACATCAATAGCTTTAAAAAAGTGAGAGAAAGTGACGACTGGGACATCGTACAGTTTCGACGATTAACTCAATTTTTCAGTAAAATGAAATGTGTAATCAATGAAGCAGTAGCAAATTCTTCAAGTGTACATATAATTAGTATAGCGATTCAAACTGTAATCTAAAAAAAGCAAGCAAAACACGGTGATGCTATTGGCGAAGATAAGATAGAAAGACTAGCAAAACACATGTGAAATGTTCCTTCACATGTCGTCTTGCAAAGACTGCCATGATAATACAACATTGATCTGCACCACAACACACACACAGACATCGTTTTCTGCATATATATATATATATATATAGAAAATGATGTATGCAGAAAAGTCTACAGTGGTGTACTATATGTTGTATATCCGTGGCAAATTTGCGTTACGACTAAATGAACGAAAGATTTACTTTTAAAGAATTTTTCGAATGATTTAAAATAATTTAAAAAAATCATAATGCACGTATACGTGAGTGACGATAATAGAAAGGTGAGGTAACTTAATTATAGCTACTGCAAGAAGGTGTGTGATATTTCTTATCGTGGACGAATAACAGACATCAATGAATTATATCTTTAAGACACCATATAAATGAGATACGTAACAATTGTTTTTATAGAGTATCTAGCATATAATGGACTCCCTATATGTGTACTGATGTGCCTTCAATGTGTGACATATGTTAAATATCTAAGTAGTAATGATATCGTATGGCATCATCCATTGCTACCTTCTGACGTATCAGAGGCATTAATACTTGTACCATCCGTGGTGAAGATATTCTAATACACATGTGCAGCTACAAACCTTATTATATTTGTATGCTACGCTACAGGTTTACTTACGAAATACATGGACCGAAAAGGTCTCCGATATACAAATCTATGCATGCACACATACATAGGAAATTCAATTTTGGTTACCATATGGTAACAAACGCCATGCGGTAGAATTTTTAAGGAAGGAATGATGATATTATATATTATAACGTCGAAATGAAAATGATGGCAAGCGTTTTATGAGAACAAAGTTTAGTTTTAGCTTCGTTTCTCTGTGAGTGAGTTTGACTGGTAAGATGATGGTGCATCGCATACATATACAGCCAAATACAATAACACACATTGCTATACTGTTTAATGTATGTCTAAGAATTACTGTGCAAGGCTTTGGCCTGAAAGCAGAGCTAACGACTGCTAGAGGTTATGGTAGTTAGTTGTTAAAAATCCATAGGTCATATGGAACGGACTACTGGTTCTAGTAAAATTTCATTGAAACATGCTCAAAACGTAATTATCTAGAGGAAAAAATTATTTTTTTCAAAGGCCTCCATGAAACAAAATTATGTTTCTTGAGCCAATGAGTAGAGATGAAATAAATCGTGTTACATATAATAAATTATAATTGCTTTTTGCTTCTAGAACCTATATAAACAGGCTAACAAACAGCTCAGGGTAAAGACGTATATGTTCTAAGGTTTGGGGTTCCCTATTTGACGATAGGCTCACCAGATTAGCCGCTAGCTAGTTTCTGCTGAGTTGAATAATAAGATCTTGAGACACAAATAGTAGGACCTATTAAGATGTTAGTCGCATAATACACTGTTCAAACAATATTCGGACTAAGCAAAAAAAAAGTCACGCGTCCCACTTTCGTGCCGTCCAGCGTCATTCGGTTTTCATGTTATTCGATCCGATATATCTCCTGTATCGAAGAACCTGTGACCGCTCGTTAACTATATATCCATATACACACAACTATGAATCTCCCGCGTATTTTAGCAACTACTTAGTGTTCTAGGGCCCACTATCAGTAGTTGTCTAGAGTACATATAGATATTATTAAACATTTACAATAGTTTTTTAAGGTAGTTGTATGTTCTTTTATATTAAACAGGTTCGAATGCCTCAAAATCAAAATTACGTTCTTTTTCTATGTACAAAGGAGCTGAACGGAGTATTTTTAATATAAAAAAGACAAAGTAGAAGGCTATCGCGAATAATATAGCAGCGCTGCGTTGAAGATGTACATGATCCGAAAACTAACTTCGCTATTCTGATGTTTCCTATACATGAAAAAGCTAATCAACCAATCGCTAGTTTCCAGTTGGCGCGGTGTCCCTATAACCATTGATGTGAGCCTATGCCTTGATGCTGGTTTTCAATGAACCAGCTGGTAAATTCGCTTCTTTATTGACTTCTACTTTTGAGACCAAAATGTCTAGAGTTAAAGGGAAACGCTCAAAACTGGCTTTAAAATCCATTTTGATTTCCGTACTTCTTTTCACAGGACAGCTGACATTACTTACTCGTATAACTGACGGAGTTGTGTAAAAAAGAATTTTGCTGGCTTCAGGAATGTAGAGTTCAAGCTTTTCCGCAAGTGGATGATACATTGAAGTCGGCGCATGACTTATGACTAACCGTACGACCATGTGAAGACTACGATACATTCTACAGCTGAAAGTAGTAAAGGTCAGCCGTATTTTGAGGCACATGTATAAACGAAGGAAACAAGCGCTGTTTTTTGATGTGACAACCAATACTGATTCGCCGGAACGTTGAGTAAGGGTCCCCAAAAATGACAAACAATACGCCGTTCTATAAACGCATTTCTGAATGGCTAATTGTGCTTCTAAGATAGATGAGACACTGAACACACCTATTAGGTTACTACACGTGACTTCGCAATTTAAATCAAGCTTATGCAATTTCATCAGCACATCTTCTTAATAATGCAGCCTGAATAAGTTCTTAGTAAATAACTACCCTCAACTGAGTTAATAACCTCAATTAGGAACATCTTATTTAAATAGCAGTAGGGTTTGAATAATGCGTAATCTAATATACGTATGCCTCCGTATTATCTCAGACACACTAACGTGTTTCCCGATATTTAATTACGAAAATAATTCTTTTCTTTGCTGATACAAGCAAGCGTAGTTTAGTTGGTCTAATTTTATATTTGGGAACCATATATGGACTTCTCCATGTCATATCTTTTCACCTTGGCATAAATTATTACATTCGTATTAAGAAATACTAGGTCATTATCTTCCAAGTGACCCGAAGTACTGTCGACATGCAAATGCGTCCAACGGCGCAGATTGTTTTCAAAGCTCTATGGGGCAAAGAGCGATGTGCCCGCTAACAAATGGATCAGTTAGGGCCATTTTCATCTGTAACAAGTAGACGGAACTAAGCGGAAGGACTTCCAGTAAAAAAGATTGGTTACAAGCATTTAGAATACCATTGGTCTTCGTTGTTTGCTTGTCTAACTAGTATATATTCGAAGAAATCAGTTTTGTCATATTTAGTGTTCCGGTTTACTCATTAATATAAGCATCCTATAATTGAGCAATGAATTTTTGATACGATAAGTCGAGACGAGAAGGCGACGGGAAAGTAGAATATGCTATGGGAACAACATTGTGATTCTTAGACATTACGGGTAATCTTGCTTGCATTACATCAGTTTTGGAGAGACCTAGTTAGATGCACTTAAGATGTTAGTTAAGATAGTTAGATGCATAAGTTACTATATATCGCCTAGCGGTGCGCTCAAAATCTTTGATAGGTAAAGAAACGTGCAGGTGGTCCTATATATTAATCTTGGGCAACTCTAACCGGAACTGATGCAATCCGTACTGTGCATTTCGTATATACACCTCCGCAACGGTTCAGAAGATGTGACGTAAATAGTTTACTTGTTCACCCAAATCTTAATTTTAGAATTCCCGCACAATCAAATGCACGCCACATTTATTTGGGTTCGATTCGTAAAGTCAACTATCTGCAAGCACCCCTTCCACTATGTGATATGCCATGGGGAAGCAAAAACAACGAGCTTTCGTAGACCCTTTTAGCAAGTGATGATTTAGTATTTAATTAGAAGCTAGTTCTTAGACTACCAATTAAGCGGTTTCATTTATATGATTCATATACCTATTACTCAATTCCATATACCTATTATTCAACTATAGTTTAACAATACATAGGGCTTTTCCTAAACCATTGTTGTTTTTTTATTCGAAAAACCCTATCATATTCATATAATGGCCACTTCAGTAACATTCTTCAAAGCCAGCACTTTTACACTTTTCCTTCCTGATAATTAATTCTAATGTCGATAATGCGCAGTGAATTTTTCGTTATTATAAATTGCCATTAAATATTTAATTCGTCGGTAGCTTGCATCAGTACTCAACCATCAACTCTGTCACCTTCCCCTAGGATTTGATCTAAACGTTTCCTTGATTGGTTAAATATACCGTTCGACTTACTACAGCGATTCAAATTCATAAGCCAAATAATAAATAAAGCTATAATGTATAATCCACATAAAACATTTTCAGACAGATAACTTTAATTAATAACTAACTCTATTACCGATAGCTAAAAATCTATTTAAAACAAAATATAAATGTAGCGGACAATTTTTTAATACTTAATCTGTAACGGCTGAAGCAGGTGAAAAACACACCCGTTGCTTATTGGCAGTTACCTTTTAGGTAGCTAACGCTCTTTCCTTTTAACTGACTTAGATTTTACAAAGTCACCGATGGTGCCAGGAATTCAAGCGGCTTGGGTGGCGCAGGGCGATTAATTATGGGTCGCACTTTCTTTCCGTTAGCACGCCAATCATCTGGTCGCGACAGGTGGAATAATAAACGTTCCTGAAAAACAGAAACAGTCACTCTCTCAACGATAAAACCATGATCAACGGCTCGATTCATTCTGCGTATAACGCATCAACTTATATTCTGGCAAAAATCATATGTTGTACAGATACATATACACTTAAAAACTTTGGGCCTCTGTAGCATTAACTCACATTTATTAATGGATTTGTAAATTTTATAAAAAAAAAAAAAGAAGAATAGTCATAATATGCTAAGGATTCGAACAGATTAGCCATAAAGTAGACTTGCTATTGAATCAACTTTTCGGGACCAACCTGGATCAACTGAGCCGATTTTAGCGATAATACGAGCGTTTCGTGTTTGAGCATCGAATAGACGTTTAGACCTTGTACAGGCATAATGTTCATATGCCCTATCATATCTGTGGCAACAGTGATATTTCGTGGGGCAAAGTCGCTCTCGTGGACAAACAGGACTGACGGTCCCCATCCCCGACTATCGCAGAGCTCCTCGAGAAACCTAAAATCCAAGGATGTTCTCCGCTTTAATACCTAAGGTCGCCAAGAGCTTACACCTCTACATTACACAATCGGTGTAAATATTTTGAACTTAGCATGAATATTGGTGTTGATAAGCTTAGTAAGACCTGTATAAAAATATTTATAAGACTGAAAAATTTATACGACAACTTTTATAATGTTAAATTCACTTTACATGAAAAGAGGAAGCCCTATTTACATATACTGAGGACAATATAAATCATAAAACAGAATCAATGGCACTATCGCAAATGAATTGTATTTAGACTAGAAATATTTGTGCGTTAGATATCCTACTACCTAGAATGAATCGTACATACGTGAACAGCAACAATTTTTACAATACGGTACTAAGAAAGTACAATCTTGTCGTGCTGAAATTAGGTCCTGAATTCAAGCAACAATCAATGAAAAAACATGGTCATCAGGAACGGCATATCTAGCACATGTGGAAATCTTTGTTTAAATATCTGTTTCTACGTAGATACAGTTTACATTACAGTAGATACAGAGATAACATGACAAAAAAGCTTAACATTAGGCTGTTATAAACAAATCCTGTGAACTTTGAAATTGAAAAGCTTTTTAACTACACGCAGACAAAATTTAGCTGGTACATACTCCAGTCTTCCAAAAATTCCTGAATAAAAGCTGGTTGAGTTCCTCGAAGACATCTTTGGTCCCGAAAATCAACGCTTAGTGATCAAGTTTTTGTCCCTTGAAGGTCACGCACAGCGCTGCGGATTTTATCGACGATTAGCGAAGATATTAGGTAAAGGGGTTTGAAGCGAAAGCACGGTGATTTATGCGACGTATTAAGAACGGAGACACTACAGTGTTAAAGGCCAGCAAGAAGATGGCTGAATGTTGAGACCCGAAAAACAAGAATACATTGCCGCAACTAAAAAGGGTTTAACAAAAGAAGAGCCTGATGTCTAAGGGCTATGTAACCCCTAACTGGTATTTTACAACGTAACGCATTAGAGAGTTATAACATAAATACTGTAAATACGGAACTGAGTAAATGTTGGTCCCTCATGAATGAATTTCATACAAAAACTCAACCACTGACAGTCGATTTTCGAGACTAAGAGATTTTTTTCTTCCTAAGCTCTTTTGCTCTACAATAAATTTAACCGATTTTCGATCGTATTTTTCTAAAAACTAAAGAATTTACCGCTTAAATTTCGTCTATTAGCGACATGTAATTGAAACCTTATTCAATATTAGTCTATCGAATTTGCCTGTAACAGCATAGTATATATGCATATATAATATATATATTAATTTTACCGCAAAGAGATAAACAGGGTTAATTGCGAATTGAGACGAAACAGCATGAACAATTTAAGATACCCGCATACAATTCGGTTTCAACATTTTGCCAGTAACTTGAAATTTTACGTTTTTACAGTAGATGAAACTCACTTGGTGTCGTCTGATGGCAAGGACTCGAGGCTATCAACGATATGAATATCGTTTTGAGCAAACTTACAAGTTAATGCCGATATCAGGCCACGGACACGTAGCATAAAAGGTAGCATAAAATAATATGTACGTGGACCTCTGCAAACCAAAATATAATTAGCACTTATAGACCATACATCAAACTGCACAATGTCGATGTTTTTAAGACCGAATTCCGGGAGCTATTCGTAGGCAAACAAAAGCGGCTCACTTAACTAAATAAACCACCTTATATTCGAACCAATCTGAACGTTAATAAGACTAACTGCCAGTTATGCGTACAAATCCACCTAAAATTTTTGATTACCTTCATAATTTAGTATCCGCAACTTTAAATTTTAATCTCATTACCTCATAATGTATTGATATAACGGCACAGACAGCATAACTATCAATCACTAAAAAACATCTACAGTAGTTCTAGCAGTGTTACTTGAGATAGCTCTAGCACTAACCTGGGTCCTAAAGCCCGACCTCCATTATGCCAAAGCGGGGATCGAATCGAACCGTGACGTGCACGTCCAGTGCCTTTCTGAGGCCATGGTTTCCGACCACCACCTGGAGTTAATCCAATACACAAACTAACTCTTTAAAAAGTTTTAATGCGACATCAACATATCGAAGTAATGCACTACATTTATTAAAATGATCGACAGAAGAAATAAAACCACAGTTAGGAGATTCAACATGGTATTTTTTTCTAGAGACGATGAAATAAAGTAATAACTTGAAACAGCAAATCATCTACAACATGTGAATTTGGTGTTATCTTTTTATATCAGGACACACACCTCGTTTCTCCTGCTTAGTCATCGCAAATGACCAATCAACGACTTTATACATTTTTTGCCAATATAGGTTCCAGTGTAGGATGTCTATTCGAGGAAACGCCCCAAACACCTGTAGAAAACAAAACATTAAAGTCACTTAGTTAATCAGTTTTCAAAAATGTGATTGTCTAACACAAAATCAGGCAGCAAAAAACATTTATAAAAATACGGCACGAAAAGGAAGGTATTAGTGTTTATTAAAACGGTCGACCTTATGCGTGCAATTTACTTTGAACATTTGTGTAATATTAGAACCCAACTAACTTTAGTTAAGACCTAACCTTCTGGCTGTTACGTTAAATTTTGGATCAAGAAATTGCTATTATAAGATTACTATGAATGCAGAGTATGCAAGTACCTAGAAGCAACTGACCGTTTCGATTGTTAAATTATAGAGGACATTGTAGCATTGGGTCTTTAAAACCATACTTGCCGCCTACTTAGAACATGAAAATTCATAAGAAACATGAAATGTTAAATTTTCTACGTTGGAAGAAGCACATACCTCAGGATGGAGGGAGACCGCTCCGCGTTTTGTGGTGTACGGGTCTTTTCCATCGAGAGTCTCTACCCAAGCCTCCAATGGCTCATGATATAAAGGTATCTGACTGCAGTCGGTCAACGAGCTATATGTAAATTGTTGGTCAGTCGAACTGATGGAGGTTTGTTCTGTCGATTTTGGGAGTAAGATAACAACATTTAATAACCATTACCTTATGTATTTGAGAAAACAAGTATTTAAATGAAAACCTCCATAGCTTAATAAAATAAGGGAAATCTCCTGAAAAATTCGCTAAAACAAGGTATCAAAGTTGGCTTGTTTCACACTTATTAGCCGAATTTGATTGCCCATATGTGATTCTTATTTATAATTATTCAATTCAATCAAATTTAAAGTAAAAATCGTTTTCAAAAATCAATTCTCATTAACAAAGCTAATTACATGTCTAACAAAATCTAGCATTATACAATAAGGTAAACAATAGGGTTCGGAAAGACAAATTTGCCTGGATGATTAATAAAAGATACGGCTCACTAGTATTAAATACCAATTATTAAGAAGTTCCAAGCGAAAACAGAACATTATTTCATATATGAATTGTAATAAATAACATTGTCCATTTAATTAAGGGCAGATAGATACAAATTTTTGCTACTATAGCCATGTAACCTGAACTAAATCCACGCGAAACATCACCGACTAACCTTGTCATCTGTTACGAGTTATTAAGTTATTTAAATATTTAATATAGACATCCATCATATTTATACTACTGGCTTTACGATCATAAACAGCCTGACTGGACAGCACCAATTATAAGAGAACAGACTACATAATCTAAAAATTGTATTTTAAAAGTTGCGGAAAAGTAATTTACTGCGCATAAATAAACTCAATTCACATTACTACGTGTTTTTTTTTTTATTACACCATAAATCTAAGATAAAGAGGAAAACCGAAATGCTTTTATGAAGTTGTATAAGTCAGGTAGAAGTAGAGGTGTACGCGACTGGGGAACTGACCTACGGTAATAACATGCAGAAGTTAAGAGACATATAACGAAATATTTAATGTAAAGGGACAAAAAGGATATGTAACAAGCTCTCAGAGTTATATTACATAAATTTTCTAACATATACGTTTTTTAGGTAGTTCGGGTTGGAATAACTCGCTAATATATAAGACGCTGCTAGGTAATCGGACGTATTAATTTACCCTTGTCATCTCCAGAAGCTTTGGAATCTGTGGAAAATCTTCTGGAAGCGGCTAGAGGTCTTAAAATCGCGTTTTTGCACCGCGCGATAGTTGCACGCACCAAAGTCGCCATATTTGTTTACAATTAGGTGAGCCCCAGTGCTAGAAGAAGGTTGGACAAACATTGCATAGAAGGGTACCTGCTAAGGTGATATTCACCATACGGAAACATCTATTGACATTAAATCAAAACAAGAGCAATATTACGTTGAGGTTGTACCTGTATGGTTAGCTTACATTCTAGCAATAGACTGCAAAAAAGCTGTGTAAAAATTGTTCCTTTGCAGCAAAATTTACTTTAACAAAAAAAAAAACTAAATATAGCTCAACAAATTATTGCTGAAATATGAATGTGAGATAGATCGTTTTTTTTCGAACATGGTGGCATGATAATTTTTAAATTTACAACAAAACAATAATTAATGTGTCACAAATATTTCTTGTGACGATGTCTACCAGCAAACGTTGAATCAGAAAATATAGGTTTTAGAGGAACTATTTATTTCAATCAGTAACTTAGAGATTTATTATTACTGGCCCTTTTTTTTATAAAGCATTTTAGCAGGAATATGGTACTCGATTCAGATTTTCTAATGTTTTACTGAATGAATTAAATAAAGGTTCATAAACTTCCACCTCGTATAGATAGGTATAGAAAATCTTAGACATATCGTGGCGTGTAGAGCACTGTTTAAGGTATAGCCAATTCAGCCTGTGTGAAAAATTTACATGCCTCCAATGTACAGCAAGAGCAAGTAAATCGTTGCGCTTTAACTATACTAGTGAGCTTCAGCTTATTGACTGCAGGAATTAATGTCGAACTATTTGGTGCGCTGTAAGCAAAATACAATCTATACACAAGGTACGGCATCCAGATGGAAACTTTTTTATGCTTTGTTTCTTAGACAGTATCTAAATAAAAACAAATATTTTAACAAAACTATTCATATGTGCTAGAGGTTTTCCCGACTATCATGTCTATTTAATAAAACTGCCTTGCACCACGATTACACCTTCGATTCAGAACTTAAGCCACTAAACAGTCAAGTTCAAAATTCTTCTTTTTATTCCGCGGATAGTTTTCTAATAGTAACGATATGTCTATATGCAAGAATCCAACGGAAATACATTTTGGGATAGGTGGAAACCAGAAATCTCAAAATTGTAAAAAAAAAAGCTAAAAAATCCAAACAGCCTAAGAAGTATGAAAAGCGCGAGAAATATCAAAAGCATTAACTGGTAGAGTTTGTCTGAACGACCCAATTATTAACTGATACGATCGTTAGTTTCTCTATCAAAATCTAGGTATATCAAAAATGGCCATTTTGACGAATTCTGAAGCTCTTTAAATATAGACTTCATTGAAAATCGTCTGATTTGCCCCATGAAAGTCCTCTTCGGTTTTATAAACAGCCGCATGAACACTGGCTCGTAATGAACTATGTAGCTCGTAAATTTTTAAGGAAACATACATTTTTAGTCTCAGTGAAGGTTCATTCAGCCCGGAAAGGTTAACTAATAGGCGTTCTTGGCTTAAAATTCGAACACGACGCCCTGCTATTTTCCCTTTACCTACTTATTGTGTTTATTTCCATATGTCATTCAGAAGTTCTATTTCCTTTATAAGCCCTTTATTTTTGCATCGTGCAATGAAGTAAATTTAAGGTCAAGTCCAAGCTACAAAGATAAATGTTCCAGGTGCATCTTTGACATATACTTTAGTTGCCTTCTTGTTGCTCTCAAATGGCTGCCGAAAAAGCCCGAGATATCTGCGCTTTGTACAGCGGAAACTCTATCGAGGATGTATCAGACCAAATGGCCAGGTATAAAAGTCGAGTCTTAAACTTGGAAGATGTCTGCCACCTCAGTAAGCATCGTGATGTCGATAAAGACTTTGGGTGGCAAGCAACTCGTTAATTGGCCGAGAAAGTAAGCGGCTGCGAACAATCGACTACCATCAGGCATCTTGAATATATAGAATTTGATCAAAAGTTAGAACCTAGGTATGCCTTAGACTGAGTGAAGCGCTCAAAGGAACACGGCCTTTTATCACAGTTCAGGGTCTCACTGGCTGCCGGACAACAGCAAGAGATCCCTACACGGAATTGAGTCCTGGAAACTGGAAAGCGTTTACGCTCGATTTCGATTTCAAACGACCACATGTCTCTCAGTGTAGAAGCCAAATATGTTACCATTACACTATCACAGAAATTGTCTAGCAGAAAAGGATCTATACACTATAAAATCGTTGAGAACACCAAGACGATCACTTAGGATCTGAATATAGCTCAGTTGCATCGGTTAAATCAAGCGATCTAACAACAAAGACGTGATAAATAAAGCTAAGTCATCCTTTTCCGCAACAATGCCAGGCCGTACATAGCAAAGATTGTGAAAGGCGCTTTGCAAGAAGCCAAGTGTAAGGCTTTTTGTTCCAGCCATAATTATATTCAATCAGACCTTCCATATATGGATTACCACTGGTTATTATAATACGGAGTATTAAAATCGGTCCGTATATACATTGTTGGAACTCTCCCGTTGATATAAAAATGTCTTGTATCCCGCGTGAGAAAAAAGTGTAAAAAGCACGAATACGTGCTCTTTTACTTGCATTTTTGGAAAAAAAACTGAAGTCAGTTTCATCTAAAAAAAGTTCTAATAATTATTAAATGCAACTCTATAGAACGACTTTGGGCACTATTGAAGGACTTCGCTCCGGGCACACCGATGTGTAATGTCGAAGACATTTTCTAATAAGCTAATGAACATCAGAAAAAAAATGTCTGAGCGTTACAGGATGCGATTTTATTAGACTTTTAAGCTTTAACCAACAAGCTTTGTTCCACTCTTGCGGTATACGGTTTGTGGTATAATGTTGTAGAACGTATCATTCTGTCCTGTTAATTATATTGTATTGTTACATATAACTCAGCATAACTACTGTTATTCTCTCACCATTAGTGAAGATCACCGTTCTGGTTATCATTGAAGATCTCTGTTTGTAATCGACCAGAAATGCTTGCTTCCGCACTCAGGTACGACCCAGAACATTTTTCCTAAATGTGAAGTAGCATATTTTTTGCATATTTTTAGTTACGTAATAAAAGATATCTTCATCCAATGCGCAGCTAGGGATGTAGTTAGGATCCTACGTACAGTATCCTGCACAGTATAGAATGCAACACGTGCTTATTATCTGTAAACGCCTTCAACTGAATTCTGCACGCCGCAGCAATTAATTATAAAGTCAGCTTCTATAGAGCAATGCTGTGAAAGCATTCAGAGATTGCAGTGGCAAGCCAGCGAGGCATTAGAAAGACAAATTTGTTAGGGCAAGGTAAAAAAAAAAGGTAGCACAATCTCTGAAGAACACAACCAATTTACCAACCCTCTCTCTGCACGAATCGTCAAAGTAATATCTTTAGGTATACCCGAGAACTATGACGGTAGCGGGATATTCACACGGCGGAATAACATCATTTCTTAAAATTTACGCAAGGACAATCTTTTGTATTGACACCAAGCGTTTGAACGAATAAAATCCTACCAGATAGAATTCTCTATCGTGTTAGAAATATAAGCATGGACGTCTGCGCTATAATATTATAACTAGATCTACGCGTGAGCTGCACCTCGTGCCGGTTGATATATGATTATTACATTCTCGCGTGCGTATGACTGCTGGTTAATTTAATAGCCTAGAGAAACACGTATATACCTACTAGTGTTAGGTAATCGAGGTTTGAATCTAGGCGTAGACATGCTTGGTTTCCTGTTCAAAGGCCGATTAAGTTTTTTGATGGAGTGCTTAACGGTAGTGCGGTGCGCAAAACTCAAAAGATCCAAAAGATAGTGTTATGCTGTACCAAAAAGACGACGGTCATTTTTGCAATAACTCCGACCGCAAGTAGGGTTATTTCTTTGTTGCGGGTAGGCCTTACGAGAAGGCTCTTATAAAATTTAATCATAGTCATCTAAAGAAGAATCGAACATAATCATGTCTAAAAAAATTCAGGAAGCTTTCTTAAGATCTGTGGTACGCGTGTGGTACGATTCGTTGCCACAGGATACCCGTTCTCAGCTATAAAGTGCCCATGCCGCTAATTGAAAAGCGTGCGGTATGGGTCACGATACCATTAAGGTACCATATTGTGTCGCGCGAGCGCGATGTCAGCCACTTGGACAAGTCATTTAGATTAATTGTGACCGGGATAGCAAGCACATATGTACAAAGGTAGCAACCGTGACACTTACCGGTCGATTTCATATTGGTCTGTGTATCATGCCTGATTGGTACTGATCGGTTAGGCTTTTTTCAGTTGCCCACTACATCCGTGGATCCTACTCTCTCGTTCCATACCTTCGTTTCACAAAAACCGAGAACATTTTTGATATTGGACACCGCCGCTATTTAATCACCCATAGGTTTCTTCTTCTTTTTGCCGCAGGGTTTGCGATTGCCTGCGTTAGATTTTCCTTTGCAAAATACATGCTTACTCGTCGAACGTATGCAAATTACGGCGTATGAAATAATGATTTCATATTCAGTTCAATGAAAAGCGATCGTTATTTCGTTACTTAATTGGCTACAAGTAACAGATGTCACAATGGCGGGACAGTTTGAATTAGACCACAATGGTCCGCGCTCACAGTAAGTGGCCCACAGATCCTCCCGGTTCATTCTAACTATATCGGCACCATTTGTACCGTGTGTATCTGAAGCATGCGCCGTCGGCTCGTGTCATGATGACGATGGTGCTGGTAGTCGAATAGCAGCAGTTGTCGTAGTCATTGTCGTCGTCATGAGGAAAGGGCGACAGCAGCAGAGGCAAACGGCCAGGCAGCTTGGCCAGGTAGAGTGGCAGTGAAGCAGGAAGGGAGTCTTGTGGCGCCAGCCTTCGTATTCTATTTCCCTGTAATAACAATAATAATCATCATCATTGCCTTAGTAGCAGTAGTAATAATACTGCTGAGTCGATGGAGATGTTCGTCGTTAGCATCGTTGTCGCCATCCGCTTGCCGTAATCACGGTGGCCGTGTCGAGTCGTTCGTTGATTCTTTTCTTGTTTCCTCGTTTGCTTGGCTTGACTGGCTGCGCTACCGGGCCTGCGCTAATGCGCCAGTAGTGGTGGCTTATAATGTTTTTGTTGTCGCAATGCCTGTTTCTGTGTCACTGTCGTTGTCGCCACTGTGGCGGTTCCTGCTGTTGGTTGGCTGGTTGGTAGGTTCGTTCGTTCGTAGTTTCGGTTGCTCATCCGCCCGCTGCTGCCGCTACTATCGCCATCGCCATCGTGCTCACTGCTGCTCGTTGGTCTTTCTAGTTGATCGTCTACAGCTCTCTCGACCGACCAACCGACCGAGCGGGTTTTGTCTCGGCTGCTACTGTGTTTTTGCGTTCGCGGACTTTCGTGCCAGCGGCAACGGGAATAACAGCGGTGGCGCTACCGTTACTACGGCGGCCACTATGTTTAGCACTGTTCCTGCTGCTGCAGCGGCAGCGGCAGCGGCGGTGGCGGCGGCGGCGGCGGCGGCGGCTGATGCTTTTAATGACAGAATAGTGTGCAGTAGCTCCGTACGAGGACGTCGTTGTTGTCAAAGAAGGAACAACAACGACGGGCTTCACTCCGATTGGCCCCGATAGAAGTCGCTCGCTAGTTTCACACCATCGCTAGCACAATTGTACAACAGCTAGTAGGTCGAACTTCGATGATCACGGATGGCCAGACTGCGCCATGCTTACGATATTTGTGTTAACATGATCATTATGACGATACGGTGATACGAGTGATGCCTGCTTATCGATTTACGAACAAGTGACGCCGATAATTGTGATGATGAGTGTCATGCCGCTAAGCATAGTTGGCTAACTAGCGAGTGAGTTACTAACAGTTGGTGACGATGACGGCAGTAGCTTTCCTGTAAAACGACGACAACGGAAACCGCTTTTTGCACCGCACCTAGAACGACTGGAATTATAACGACGAGCTCTAATCCAATCGCTATTATTATATAAAGATATTCCGTATAATTCTAATTTACGTAGTTCTTGGACAACGACAACATTGTTATTGACCTCGCCGCCGCCGCCGCCGCCGCTGCTGCTGCCGCCGCTGCTGCTGCTGCTGCTGCCGCTGCTGCTGCTGCTGCTGCTGCTGCTGCTGCTGCTGCAAGTGGCGATTTTCTTGCTACGCTTTTTTTGCTAAATAATCTTGAGTAGCGTCAAAGTTCAATCCAGATGAATTTTTTTCAAACTAGAGCGTCCACGAGCAAGCGACGGGGGCAGTGTTCTACTTACACTAGGAGATTGTGGCATTTGCCAACTTTCGGCTACAACTCTCCGTTCAATAAATAGATACTGTGTCAATAGTTTGATGCGAGTGATACCTTCTAGCATCTAGTTTGTGACGATAATGAGTTACGATATTGTGTATCTCCGTGTATTGTCATGCCGTGATATACTATCGCAGGTGCAGTGCTACAGTCCGTCATTGTTTGTTTCTTAACAATGGATAAAGTGGAGCTAGTCCGAGAAAAGCAACTGTTCTGCCACCTAAATTCGAGCGCTAGAATGATGACGGCACCGAAGACGACAAGACTGCAGGTGGGCGATGAACACGTGAAGGGGGGATTATGGCGCGCTGTGTCCAGTGACTGGTGGAATACTGTGAATCGTAATGCTGGCTGAATTTCTTGATACACCACAACAAATGAATGTGATTGATTGAAGGCATATTTCAGAACTCATAGTACAAACACTAAGCGACTGTACGAGGCAGACATAACTTAGCAGCACACTTTTGGCTTGTACAAGGCTAAATCCTCTTTTTGAGGGACTGAGACGTACATTTTGTACACTCACAATGTAAATTGCAGATAGCCGAAAATGTACACAAGCTCTGTGTACAGTTTCCTTTTCGCAGTGAGTCGCTGCTTTCTTCTCATTCTACAGTGTTATTCAATTGGAGCACTTCACATCGCTTGCTTTTTTCAATTGCGTTTTACAGGAAACGGAATTACGTTTAGCTCAAGCTTTAAGAGTGAATATCCCAGCTGGCAAAGAATCTACAGAATTTGTACTACCTTCTATTTGTGATCGTCATATAAAGGAAAGCCTCCAAATTGAACAATCGGGTCCTTAGCGAATTTATTATACCTTTTAACCCTTTTTGTATATGTAATGATTAGGCTGCCATGTATACCCTGCACGTACTTTTTACAGTTATAAAAGCGCTTATAAGGTATTTCTTAGGGTTGGCTAATAATTTATATCTTTTGTGTGAAGTTATTGTATGCATAGGGTTATGGTAGAGCAATTTGGGCCCAAATTTATTTAACGCTATCCTTGATAGACATCGGTTGCCAGGGGAAAAAGTATTCCACTGTATTTACCGGATACACCTATATTTTCATAAAGTCGACTTATATGGATTACTAATGAAAGTGTAGCTAGACGGACCATCAATCACTTCGTACAAAGAAGTCAGCTATTCCACGAGGTTAGAGCGAAAGTGCTTGCTTCCTAAAAGAAAACTGTGATCTTGGCTAAGACAAGTTTCTAAGATTCTGCCAGTGATCCTGAGTCGTCTGCTATTGGTCCTCATAAAGTTTCGCCGAGCAGTGCGAAGTCGCGTTCTATTCTAAGCACTGGCACAACAAAAAGTTGTACTCTGTACGAGAGCTGAGGGGCACTATGATAATACGTACAGTTCTCCAAGTTAGTCCAGTCAACTTTCTCACTCTAAAATTTCTGTAACTGTCGTGGTTACTCATGATTCAGGTATAAACAATACTCGATCCATGACCGTAATTGTCCAAAATGTGACGCATGTGTCGGTAACCTTGTTTAGTCTTAACAATGTGCTGTGCTAATGCGATTGCCAAAATTTATTTTAAAAACAATCACATATGAGCAGAAAAGTACAATATCCTACTTGCTATATATATATATATATATATATATATATATATATATATATATATATATATATATATGAGAGAGAGGGGGAAAAAGAGGGTTGCATCCTGAGGCCAGTTTCCATTTTTATGCCAAGTAAGAATTTGATATCACTTGGTTCCATATATACGCGAAATGTGGTGGCCCACATAATTATATTTGATGCCAGCCTACATGGCGCCGATGTGGATATATAATATTATATTCGTCAGCGTACTTATTTCTGAAAAATGTGAATTTGTTACGGAAAACGTAGTCTTGGGACCAGTGCAGTGGTACTGGACATATGAGCTGATCATTTTTATTTCTTGCAGATGTAGACAATGGACCACATTCTATTTGTATAGATGGTTTTGTCTTTTTCTTAATGATCCTTGAACTACGAGTTGTCGTGGTCTTATTTAACGTTTCCAGAGCCTTCAAGCTCTGTGAAGGTTATCCGCGTCTCGCCTGTATCTTCAATAAATTATAAGGATTTTACAGAAGGAAGATGCAATCGAGTAGGTTTTCTAAACTTTTTGTTTTATTACTTTATTATGTTTCGACGGCTCATTCCCGTGGATATGAAGTGCGCCTTTTCTACGCGAGGTAGAAAAGCCTGTTTGAGGTTTTAAGTCTAGACTAAAACGCTTCGCGTAGGATACTTTTGTCTTTGTAATGTTCAATGCTTTTTCGGTCTCTGATTAAGCTTCCACGAAAGATCTTAATTTCAGAAAGGCAAAAAGAATAGTACTGCTAATCATATCAAGTTACTCCGAGCTTTATCAGATGGAATCTAGTAAAAACACTTATGAAGTTCTGCCATATGTGCAACGCATCAGTTCGAAGGTTTTTGGTCGTTAAATAATTTCTTTTTTAACCGGCCCTTGGGCATAACTTTTGAATTAGGCAAAAAGTAATAAAAGGAGCATTTATTTAAATGTTGAATTATTTCTTCCTTTCATGAGAAGCCTATGTTTTTCTGATTGCAGCGTACGCCTTACTCCTCGTCACACACTTATGTACAATAGAAGCTCGGCGACTTTGACTTGGCGTATAGCTCTGCATGAACATCGCCATTAACTAAGGCTTCTATGTTTATTATCTATTTGCAAATAAACATTACCTCAAATAAAAAAGAGATAAGCATAAGTTTATTATCTATATTCCATTGCATAGTAACTTTACGCATCATGCTACGCTAGGCCATAATCATTTAGTTCCGATGTGTTTACTTGGACCCATAACATGCTGGCGCTAACAAGAACGCTATTATCTTATATAATTGAAACAAATTCACAATAGACTTCATTGACTTCATAGACAATGCATTTTTTGAACGAGTTCTTGCGTAGAGGCACGTAGCGTTGCGTATCGTAGAGTAGCTGTGATTTCAAGATCCCCATGAGAAATCATCATGAACTATAAAATCCTATTTCTAAAGCCTATTAGGCGGTTAAATAGCAACCATAACACACAGTGTGTAGCTACACGTTTTTTTAAGTAATTGTCTTTAGACAACGTGGAAGCTCGTAGACCTCATGCTCGGCAATACATAAATTTACGTCGAATCCAGAAGGATTAGGGCAGAACAGCCCATTTGGGATTGTTCTTTATTCGTAAATCTAGCATATGCATAGTCTGTATTATTATATATAAGGATGTCGCCGACATGTTTCCGTTCAGTTAACGCTACGACCGAAAACAAACCGTGATAAATGATCAGCCATTATCACCATGAATACGCTTGGCGAAATCATTGTGTAGAAAAACAGGCTACCGGTCAATAGAATAGCAATTACGATATTCCTACCTGAATCGTTAGACAATTAAGATAAAATTGAGGTTCTAGATACTTACTATTTGACCTTACTATAATTAATCGTTTATTTAAACGTAACATTTGATTGCTGCTTGTGAGCTTACCGGTCAGATAGGGAAAGCCAGTGTTTCAGGCTGACCAAACGCAGGATTGTAGATAACATTTAAAAGATATTAAGTAGCTTCTTTGTACATATGGACGTGAAAGTATATTACCGATACTAGAGAGCATCGCATAAATCTTTTCCGTAACAATTCGTTAACTAACATGTCTTATTGGCCATGATAGGTGAAGCGCAGATTATTGTCAGCATCTGGATTTTATTGCCAACTTGTCACCTAATGTTCGAACGACGAAAAGCCAGCGACGGACTCGAAAGTCCAGCCAAGAGAGATAAAAAAGCACATCTTTAGTGCCATGTCTGTCTGGTGGTCCTTCCGTGTGTCGTTCGCGCGCTTGCCTTTACATGTGGTACATGACAAGAAAGGCAAAACCCTATCGTTGGCACATAACGATCAAATAGAGGCCGACATTGGTTGTTGCGGAAATGAGTATTCATAAGCAGAAGCAACACATATAGTCCGTACCTAGTATAAAGTAATAGAATAAAGAAGAGTGTAAAGGACTTGTTGATTGTTGTGGCTTCGTTGTTGAACAGATGCTTGTTCTTATGAGGTTTTGCGGTGTTTCTCGTCATTGCCGAACTTAGTAGTAGGCTCACCCACATGTTCATATCTTGTTATAGTAATAATAATGATAATATGCTGTGTGGTAGTAGGCATTGTTGTGCCCTGTACGCTCGGATGCGCTCTGGGAAGAAGATTCTACCTACCTAATGCAATGGCCGATCTGCAGCCACTGCACCGACATCAACTACCACCTCAACGCCAAAAGCCTAGAACGAACACCATCAATGGCGCCAACAGCAGCATGGTAGACCACCTGTACATTAGTTGCGAAGGCAACGGCGGTAAGCTCTGACTGCCCCTATTACACGACCATGTCTAAGGCAAGAAACAACAGAAAAAAATTATAAACGTTTAGTTTCGGTGTATCTGTGTGTCTTGTGGAAAGAGCTCATGTTTATTGGTCCTGCAGTCGTTCATTGCAACTCAAAAAAAAAGTAGTCTTGTTTTTTGTCCATTTTTATATACACATATGTTTCCATCATGAATTCGATCAAAAATGGTCTATTGCTTTAATGTCTGTATTTGACACAAAATCAAAACATCTTTAAGTTTATGAATTTTTTTGTAGCCTTTGGTCGACATTTTCAGTTTTCGTAGTCTATAGTGAAGATGGTGTTTCGAAGTGTTTACCATATTTGCGTAATTCACCTTCTAGATCATACGGCCTCGAAAGACAATACTGAATCATTTGTTCTTAACAAGGCCAACATCTGGATGTGGAAATTTATTACAAATGTTTGAATCGATAAAGCTGAGCTCAGTGGGTAAAAGGATGGCACTAATCACCGAAGCCGGTTTATTGACACATACCGCAATCGTATAACCTCAAACATTCAATATTCAAATAAAGAAAGGGATAAGACAAGTGATCATAAAGCATTTTCTACCTGGCTACCCGCTTTATTTCGAATCCTAGCCGATAATCATAAGCATATCCACTGGTTGGTAAATGGTAATAATCGATCGTAGCATTGATAAACGAAAAATGAGATTCTTCTGCTTAACGAACAAATGATCTAGTTTATATAAACAAAGCGTAATTAGATTTGGTCTGCCTACAGTTGTATTGTGATCGTTTTTAGCTGGCACCGCTTAGACACTCGCTGTCCTTCGTTTTGTCTATTGTTCTGCTGATCGCGTCCGTCCGTCGGTCCGTGCGTCAATGATGCTGCTATAGCGTCCCCATGTAGAGACGGGCTATAACAGGCTCTTATTCTGCGTAAAGCTACCACAATAGCGGAGATAGGCATTAGTCGATGCCGTTGGCTTTATATGACTTAGGGCTTCGTTGGCAGATACGCGCGCCGTGGGTCGATCTGCGCCTGCGTCTGTGAATGAGTGTTACCGGTCTGCTTCCCGTCCGCCACTGTCTTTTATGTGGCTTTTCCATGTTGTTTCTATGAGGTGCGTGTCTCTCTCTCTCTCTCTCTCTCTCTCTCTCTCTATCTCCCTCCCTCCGTCGGTCGGTCCGTGTGTTTCCCCGCCCCTGTCATCAGCCGGGCTCAAGCGCGCCAGCCGCGCATCTATTCGTCGTTCTCGTTGTTGTCGCTGTGCTCTTACCTGAAAGCAGCAGTATCAGCCGATGCTGATGCTGCTGACAGTAGCTACAGCGACAGCAGTGGAAGCAACAGGCCTCGTTACGGACGACGCTGGTGGCCCTGATGATGATGGCGACGATGATCTTGGTGATGGTGGCACACTGGCGAGAGAGCCGACTGTGACGATGAGATGCTGACGCTTATAACGGAGCTGATCGTCTGGCAGACCACGAAGGGACGAAGTTAGAGCAGGGGGTTGTCTTGTCCTGTTTCTCCTGGCATTGTCGTCCTCAGATTCGCACTGATTGTAAGTCTTGAGACGAACAAATTTCTCCAACCAACTCCAAAGCATCATCACATCACAACAATCATAAGCGTCGTCGTCTTAATCCATCATAATAATGCCAGCATCGTTATCACCAAAGGCCTAGTTAGTTTAGAGTGATCATGTGGCGGCGTTGAGAACATCGCCGAGATAAACGCGCCGTTCAGTGGTCGAGAACGAAAACGACAGTAGTAGCAGCGGCAGCCAACGACGACTGAGACAGCAGAGCTCAGCCCAAGCCCGACCAGAACAGCCCCCACTGACAAAAACAGGAAGGGGAAACACCAGAGCGCGCTGACACGATGCGCTCTGGTCGTTGCTGCTATGCGTTTTCAATCTCTCTCACTCATCCCTGATTTTTGTTTTTCATTGTCGAAAATGCTACTGTTCCTACTGTCGTTGTCGACGTGCTATTGATCCTATTGTTGTTACTTATTTGTCAAATTCAAGCAAACAAAATTGTGAAAGGACCACCCTTAGACATACGAAATAAACCATAAAGAGCTCGAGCTTTTCCGCTAACTAAGCCAATACATTCTAAGAAAGTTCTCGAAATGCGTTCCAGAACATTTTCCACAATATCTATACTAAGTAGAAATTGGCTAGTATATGAATATTCGTTCGTCCGCTTTATCGAAGCGCAGGAGGTTACTCGTTAGGACTCTTTAACATACAGCTTTCCATAACTGACTGCCACCTGTTAAGCGGCAATCATGGGCAAAATTTTTGTTTCATTGAAAGGTAGTCCTTCCTGTCTTCCTCTTTACGTTGTGTCCTTTGCAAATTTAAAATTACCTGACATTACGTGACGCAAATTTTAAACCAGACAGAGCTACTACTAATAATAATAAATAATAAAACGTTCATGCTGATGCTTCCATAACGGCGCTCGAACAAAAATAACGTCGTTACTTTATATAAATATTGCTTTGACATCTTCTCTGAAATAGATTAAATCCTTTTATAGATTACCTCACTTTATAAAGTGAGATAAATTGGATAGATCCGGTTCTGAGCTACACGAAGAATCGAAGTTGAAAAAATTGTGGTGGAAAAACGTTATAAGATTTTTCCTGTGTAAATAACTTACATAGGTACAGCAAACGATGTTCAAAAGTGAAATGAGTGCGACTTGCCCGATTGAGATCGGTTGCGTCAATGGGGAAGACACATTACTACCGCTGTGCACAGAGGCAGTTTAGCACTATCTGCTTACAACCGAAGAAAATTAATTTCTTGATTATTTTTAATAATTTTTTTATCATTTTTTTGGGATGTCAAACTGATCATACGTACAATGTGGGTCTAGATGTAATATTAACGGAGTTTATGCTGATAATATATTACCAGCAACTTAGCTGTTTCAACCTACTTGAAGGAAGATTAATAAACGTACAAGTAGGGAGAGTCGTGGGGGTAAAGAAAACAGAGATCGGCCACTCAAGTACTACCTTGAATAACGAGGAGACATTAGTGCCGATTCTTTTAAAACTACGGGAAAATAGCTGAGCTGCTTAACATCGGCTTTCCCTATAGCGACTCAGGTTATGTAAGAACGAATGAACCGATAGGCTAGTCTTCCGTAAGCTTATTGAGGACGAAAAGATTATAGCTTTGAATTACTAGTCAGTGTACGTGCTACGAGACAAATCAAACTTGAAACATTTTATATCGCAGAACTTTTAGTGCAAACTATCTCTTGAATCAAAAAGCACTTACTCTTAAAAAAATCAATATTTGCCATTTTGTTTTGTTGTACAGGGCACTGAAGCAATGCAATATTTTTGATCTCGAGGACGAAGAACCATATAACATATTAAATCATAACTGGTAACTGTAACATATATAGGCAATGATGATGAATGAACCAAGGTCTCAGTTCGTCTAATGGCTTTTCTCATAATTAAAGCTTCAAAACATCTGTACATTGAGGTGCTACTTTGACTCAAAATTTATTCTTAGCTATCTGCTCGCCAGTTAACTGCATCTTTTTCAACAGTTTTTAACAAAAAAAAAAAAAAACACCTCTGCTGTGAGTAAAATACCTCGAATCTTCATCTTGAAGAGCAATTATTAGGTAATTTTCATTATGAAAAATACGTTGATTCAATTTATTTATTGGAGTTTACTTTCTTAAACGACAAATGCTTCTGTTGCAGTCCAGTATGTCAGAGTTGCTGGATTCTGGGTCATGGAAGAGTTCATTGTGAACGTTAATTCGGCGCTGGCAGAGGAAATGCCTGCAGTATTCTGTTGCTGTGTATGTAATGCTACTATTAAAAGCGATGATGATGTTTAGATCTCGGCACTGCTGAAATACACCGTGGTAAACTCCTGTTCAAAAAGGATGTGATTTTCCAGGTAACGAGATATTGTTAAAAAGTTGTCATTAGAAGTTTTTAGTTAATTGGCGATACTTGTATGTAATTAATGCGACGGTATCTTGTCCTGAAAGCACCAGTATAGGTTGAACTCACTACAGATATCACGCATCTATCGTTTCTTTCACTGTGATATGACTAAATGTTTGGTGCCTTACAGCACATGCTGTATTGTTATATGCTTACCGAAAACGTACATCAATTAAAAAAAAAATACTAAAAATAGAATCGTCACATGCGCTATACAAATATATGCATTGTGCGAACTTTATACAAGTTCGAAAGATTAAGCTTCGCCGTCGCTGTACAGATATATGTGATCAAATACAAAGGTTACTGAAGTAGTTCGAAGTTCGATAACATAACGAAATAATAATAATTATAAATGTTCAAGGTTCTACGTCCGGTTCTGTCTTAGTTAAGCATTACTTCGAACGATTGGCTCTTAACACAGAATAAAGTTTGTATGCGGCCAGCTTCAAACACGCAACTGCACCACTTAGTTTGTTTTGAAGGCAGGTGAAAAGGCAGACCGTACCATTTATAGTTTACTTAGTCTACTTGGGGCATCGTGTGCTGCAGAGAGCCACCGCTGTCTTCGTATCTTTTACAACTTTTAGCCTCATTTGATCCCTTCTCGACAAGAACATGCGTGAATCTCGACCGACCACGTAAAGTCGTCTCATGTGATCCTTTATGTCAGCGGGTTTCGACATAGGCCACCGGTACTATCGGCACCCGACGAAATTTAAGATTTGTGTCCTGGGGCGCGTTAGACAACACAAACATCTAATTGCGAATACCAAATGGAATCAGGCGTCTGAGATCGATGAACGACACCTCTTTCAGAGTAAATGCGCGTTACTTAAGCCGAGCGTACGCCGGTTAAATCGGTTAAAGGAAAAAGGGGACAGAAAGCATTTACGTTGGCTTCAAGGAGCAGCAGTATCAGTATAATAAGGGCAACCCTTATCGTTGGTAACAATAATAACCATCGTCACATACATCGATACGTGTTTAGCGTCCACAAATTTCGAGCTGCTTTAATTGGGGAAGGTATTAACTCATCAAGTCTAATACCCATTTTGGATGACCACGTTCTCCATGTTCTAAGCGAAGCTTCTATAATACCCTGTACTAAAAAGTGCCGGTTGATTTTTTTTGTGTTTGAAAATTGAAATCGTCATAATTTTCACAATATTTTAAAGTAGATTCCCTTATCGAATCAATGCGTCTGCTTTAAGCGAATAAGTACGGAAGCTTTCACTACCGATAGCGTTGCAGCCATCAAGTGACGCGTGAAAGGACTGGAAAGCAATAGCAGTAACCGTAAAATCATTCCCAATTTTGCAAGCTCAGTCTAGCATAACTAAAGTAATTGTTCTGCCGCATTCATATTTAGCATCGTATAGATTCCAGTATTAATGGTCTTACTATTACATTATAAATATACTTTGTTTTAGCTGAAGTTGCCCTTCTCAGCAACTGCGGTACGTATCTTTAGCCAAGGTAATGTTACTAACTTATTTTTGGTTTTATTTATACAATTTAAGTAAGCTGTATGCGGGCAGCCAGGCCTTACGAAGATTGGTACTGACAAAAACTGGATAGAATCAAATATTTAAGAGGCAGCCCACACTGCAGAACCTGACGAAGATCAAAGAAAGGCACAATAGAATCAAGAACAAGATTTTTTTTATATCTCAAACCTGATTTTCTAACCTTTGTGTGAATCTTATATCTTAACCTTATGCTTTTTTTTTTTATCTAAGGAAATATCTAGTGATAACTGAAGGGCCAAGAATGAAGCCACTTAAAGCAACATTTCGTTTCAGATGAGTGAGTGCGATTGGCCGGGCTTTGACAACGAAGAAGAGTTCTATTTACGCACACGGAAGGGAAGCGACCACTGATACTTAAATCGATCAATGCGCATAGACTGTAATTGCGCCACTATGAAATTGAATCTATATAACATGCGTAGGTCTAGCTAACAGTGTTATTAAAGTCCATCGTATTTTCTGTCGGTACGAACCGTTACACTGAGATGCGTTCTTTCCACTAACTACTTACCTCCTGTTTCTTTTCGATCAATTTGCGTACTTTCTAATAATCGAATCCTTGAATAAAGGCGATTTGAAACGAATCAAATTTGTACAAAGGCAGTTTATAAAATCGCAAAATAAAAACAGCGCATTTGCTTTTTTACTGGGCTATATATACATATATGTAGGTTGCTCTCGGAAGCCAACGATGAGTATGTGTTGGGAATACGCCTTCTCTCATGAGACTAATGAAGGGCGAATTGTCCCTTTTTACCAGACGGATTGAGGTACTACACGGCAAATAGAAGAATCATAATATCAAAAAAATGTTGAAGGAAGCAGTCAATCTCAGGAAGCGAGTTTAACTTCGTAACGAGGTTACTTGGTTTATAGCCTCTCAGTCAGTTTCATCCAAGCGAAATAAACCAGAGATAGTTGATAAAATCCCTGATAGGCCTCTTTTTCTGTCCTGAGGTTTTGCAACTGCCAATGCTATCCGTCTTTCTTTCAAACTTGAAGTGGTTTACCACAGCGAATGATTTAATAAAACTGCTTTCTCATAATATAAAACTAGTGATCGGCTATTGACAAACCATCCGCCTCGATATCACTAACAACAATTTCTGTATTAAAATGAATTAACGAAGGAAATCATCATACAAAAATTATACGAATCTTTTTTCCTTCTGTATTTTACAGATCTCTTATTATTTAATCCATTTACGGCCACGTCAGCGGCCGTGGGGACTGATGAGCCCACCAATACAGCCGGCAGGATTGGTCGATCATCAACGCCTTCGTCACTTTCGAAATTCGCTCGCCGATTATTTTTCTGCCAATTCTGCGCGTATAGCTCGCAAAATCGACATAACGTCGTACGGCACGAGCGCAGCCACACAGGTTAGCTAGCCTTCACTTTCGTTGAGTGCTTAGATTTTTCCGCTAATCGACCGAATGCTACAAAGTTGTATCCAAGGTATGATCTTTTGGATAGATTTTCGATCAACGTATGTATTGCGCTTAACCATGATTCTGATCATTGGGATTATCTCTTTCTGATTAATTATAATCCACGATTGTGTCTGTCCGAAAAAGATGCATTTGTCATCGACGTTGCTTTCTACCGACGATGCTCTATCTCAACATGGTAAATGTAATAACTTCTAAAAATAATTTAGAAATATGGCACAGCAAGCAGTCTCGGATATAGGTCAATTGACATTCGATAATAATATCAGTATTCCTTTACTAGAAACAACGTCTTGGCTCTTTTAGCTTTCAAACATTTCTCCATTCTCTGAATGTTCTATCAGTATAGCAATTCTGGCGCATGGCGGCTAATCAGATTTTGGAAGGAAAATACGCCTAACATGGAGAGGTCGCGACAGTCGTATATAGTTATTCTCTAAACATTAGCCAGGTTGACGCTTAGCTGACTGTCAATCTCGCGCGATCATACTCCCTGAACAATAATGAGATCGTTTGATTTGATTTGAGTCATTATTTTATACATGATTTTGTTTGTTTGCGAAATGAAATCCTCTAATATGAAGATCGACCTTTTCAAAATACTTATACACATTGATCGAAAGCCTGTGCTGAACACAGCTGAACCTGCGAACCCTTCGAATTTAGAATCTAACCTTTACTGAATTTCAAAATTTGCTAGAGGCCATTTTTATCATTGTGATCACTATGTCATCACTATGATTATCATTACTATTCAGTGACTTTCGGCGTGTACACCTCATAACGTCAACTAGTACACAAGGAAACTATGCATGTGCGTAATATCACACTCGTCCGCCTACCTTTTTTAAACTTGAGGGGCTGAAGGGGGTAGGAAGATGATGCGGTAATATGATGTTCCTGTTTGCCTGTTCATGCATGCTCGTGTGGAGTGATACGGAGACTATAGTATTATCGCCTTTATCCATGGTCGCCTCCAGCTGCCAGGAAGGTTCCTTATACTCTGACTGAGCGCTATCTGACGAAATCATGACAACGACGTGGTAGGCACTTAACGTTGTCTCTTTTCTTCTCCAGAAAGTAATTTACTGAAAAATAAGCCATGTGTATTCTACTCAAACGGAGGAAATCCTCCTGCCAATTTCCAAATGACATAGTGGATTTGCTTTAAGTGTAATTTCTAACTTGGTACTTCATTTAAAATATTTTGTAAACAAGATTGCGAATAAAATAATTCCTCAAGCCATATGCAGGAAGCGGATGCCTAATTGGCGAGGAATTAATAGAGCAGTACGCCCGTGTAGATGAATTGCCTCTTTTACTTCCAAGGATCATCAAGCCTGTGCGATTGATAGTTCACTAGCGAGTGCTTCACAACAACAAAGGTTTCTCAATCAATCAATCTCATTTGAGCATGGATGTTCTGCTTATTCGATTAACGAAGGGCACTGTTGAAGAGATACATAATGGCGCTCTAAATGTTAAAGGATGAGCCAGGCTTCATTTGACCAGTCGAAAGTTTTGGCTAAAAACGCAGGATGCCGCTTTCAATCACAATACCGGTCTATTTAGGAATTGTAAACTCTCAATATCAAACCCAAACAACACACTGTTTCTGTAGAAGGTGATGGACCGATCGGGTCAACTGTTACGTGTCGGGTGAAAAGCTGCGCTATCAAGAACGGGCGGCTCGCTAGACGTAATATTTGCTTTAAGGTGAGTACCAATCGATAGTGTCTCTAATATGTTTTTGTCCAAATCAGTTGTAGTAATATAAATCAATTACTAAGAAAAATATGTTGAAAATGTCTCTACACTATTTGGTGCATTCACTGCAGGCTCTTTGCAATTTTTAGGGCTATGAAAGCCTTTACATCAAAATAGTGTCCTGCAGCATGTGCTTGTACATGTGCAGTGTTATATCTTACATCGTGCATATTGCAGGACCAAAACCCCGAGAAATATTAGATCAACATGCAGTATCGAGTATTTTATTTGTCCCTACCACTTATCATGTAGATTAGATAATTTACAGCTATTATGAAATATGTGGTCTCCTGTAATCAAGTTAGCAGGACTTGTGCCTTGAACATTTTTGTCCCAGTAGGATACAGAGAACCCAGAGTTTGACATAAAAGCTGTCTCATCGATTTTAGCCTATAGTACTATATGAAATTGATATCCCCTTATTATACAGGCACTTGACAGTTACGTCATCTCATACAACTGGACATCATGCATGTAGCACGTTAAGGTGTCACTACATATTACGTTTTTCTGAATTTTTCCCTCTCCAGGTGATTAAATGTGGCCAGTAGCGAAGGCACAGGCTACTTATCCTCTCAGTTGACATGCTGTCGTCCGTCCATCTTCACAAAATGCACCCGCCATGGGTACTCGTGGTATCTACGAAAGCCTAATACATTTATACTTCTGCCGATGAGAAAATAATAAGCCTTATCGTTAAACAACCTGAGTGTGGACGCCCAGAAGAACAATGAAAAGTTTAAGTAGATGCGGTTGTATCACACACCCTAATGCTGAATATATTTATTTATTAATTATTTTCCAGATTTTCCTGTATACGTAACTTGTTGTTGTGTTATCTGTGATAAGGTATTCCATCACAACGGAAAGGCATTCAAAGCCAAAATTAAAGCGAATATTTTTTTGTGTTTTAAAACAATATGACTGGATTAAATGTACGCCACTTTGATCGATGACTTTCTAGCATTTTGCTAGTAACACCATAAGCCAATCGCTGTACAAGGTGAGGGCGGAAAATTGTGACAAGTTACGTTTGCACCCCTCCATTGAAATTCAATAAACACCGTTGAGTGAGTTAAGCAGAGACCGGGACGGATATTAGATTGACGGTGTAAAACTCGGACTATATGGCAGATGCAGTACAATTCTCCCGGGTGACTGGTCTGGCATTGTCATGTCCGAAATGACACCGCTTTTGATAAGTCCCGTTCCGAGGTCCGAATCAACCATTTTGCTAAGCGGCCACAGCTCATAATGCACGATTCCTTTCCAGTCACCTTTTTTTGGCGGCAATCAAAGCTCTGCCGTGGACTGTGAAATCTTTCCCAAATTTGACAATTCTTTTTTTCGCATATTATGGTCATATGTAATCCACGTTTCATCGTGCGTAATCAACCGCTTTAGAAATATAATAACATAATATGAAATAATGATGGCTTGGTTTCGTGGCAATTCTGTACAGTTTCACCGATGGAAATGCGATAGGAAAAATTGTTTTGCCTCAGTCCGTTTAGCACCCAAACATCGAACCTTTTTTTATAGTTGGCTTTTTTCAAATGGTTTAGAACTATTCAATAGCGAATGTTTAGTTCCATGGTGATATTATGGTTTCTTCCGTGTTGGTTCCGTTCAACTTTCGGCATAATTTCGTTAACTTTTTTCGTAATCGGTCGACCGGCACCAGGAGCATCCTTCAAATCTAGAATAGAAGCGACAAAATTACTTTGAGGCCGTTTCTTCCGATAACACATCCTGACCACAAACAGCACGAATTTTTTTATATGTGTCTGAATACCATTTGTGCTTTTGTTATAATAAAATCGTAAAATATAATAAATTTTTGCAAAAATTTCCTTCCTCTTCGAGATGGTCTACCTTGAGTCTGAGTGAAGGTATTCTGACAGTTTTACCGCATCAGATCTGGGCTTTCAGACGGCACTAATGCCAATCCAACGCGATTCGTACCGCCTGAGATATGTCACTTGAAAGCTATCCAGCTAAAAGTCCCTTTTTTACGTTTGGGAGATTCTCGCCAAGCGTGGTGTGTCAGTGAATAAAGGAATCGCTTGAAGGACGGATTTTTCAATCTTGGTCCTTTTGTTTAAAGGGCTACGCTTTCCGATGTACAAGAAACTCCGACTGAAAAAGTAAATCAACTTGTTAATAGGCTGGTTAGACTCACCCCTAGAGTTATTTAACTAACCAGCAAATAATCCGTATGCAAACACTGTTCGGAGCCAGAACAATACATTTTTTTGTTTTTGTCTTACCGCAGTTCTCAAAATCCGGTATATATGACTATAATTGTAAGCTATCATTCATGAAATCGAATTTTATGGGCGATTCTACGAAGGCTTAAAAAAGTTCGAATGAAATAGTTTTTTCGTTTGAATGAAATAGAGCTTTCGTTTATTTAATTGTGGCTAAGATATGAACATTTCGAAACGCTACGTAACAGCAATGCAGCCGCTCATTGGTTAGACACTCTAGGTCCACAGCTATAGTTTTGTAAAAATGCCTATTTAAAACTCCTCAAGCCAAAAGATTTTTTCTGTTTCGTAACGGACAGAATATACTCTACCAGCAGACGACATGGGTCCAATAGGATCCCAATTGGGTAAATGTTAAACGAAGGGCTATGTGATTAGTGATACCGTTCACTCCGTTGTAGACGTCAACTTTTTTTATATGAAATACTGTGTATGTTTAGCTCTTGTAAAAGAATGGTCAATTGTCAAACTCATGATGGTGTTAGATATTTTATCGCTGTAAATAGTTTTTTTGGTCGTGTTGGATAAATCTCGAAGAGCACTTTGCCTTATCGTAACAAGTGTGATATTAGCTCTTTTTTTATTCCAAATTCTAGAAGGCATTGTGACTATATTTGTTTTGTTTTTCTGATTGTCAGTAACTGCGAAGGACAACAGTGATAATGATAAGATTTGCATTAAAATAGGAAAAGCTTGGCCTATATCGCCATGCTATTATGGATATGATTTTAAAGAACCATTACGAGTTACAATAAAGCTGCCTCCTACATAACAAATGCAGCATAATGAGCGTGTTAACGAACAGTTCGTCTAGCTGTCGTAAATCCTTTTCCTGTCTAAATTTCTTTAGTTTGTATAGATTCTAATTTGTTGTAATGATAAATACGCTACAAAATTGTGTGTCCCATATTTACGCTTATCGATTTATGCTGAATTGCCTTACCCTGACCCGAACAACAAAGTTCTACTAATCTGTCCACCAAAAAGACAAAGTGATAGCGACCCAATTTTACGCAATAAGCGAAAAAAGTTTTCAACAACTATGAGCTAACAGTTGGTGACAACACCTAACCGGCCCAAAAATATATTCAATAAGTGAGCTATAACGCGCAATGGCCATATATATATAACACTTTTTCCAGGTGAAAAGCCATTTAAATGCAAAATCTGTGGGCGAGGATTCGGCGATAGCTCAAATCTGCGCCAACATGAGCGCACGTGTCAGTCAAGAAAAGAAAAGGTAATATACCTTTTTTGATACTGAGATTTCTTTTAGGCACATCTGAATGATTATATTCACATATTTATCGGTCCATAGTCAAAAAATTAGGAGACATCGGGCTAACATCCACATAAAACTTCAGCTTCAGCCGAGACAGAAAGAATGTGTAAAAAAGTAGCATGAAATTAATGATTTAACTACAGACATTTAACCTATTATGAAGTTTTTATCGTTGCTCGATTTATTGATTGATAGATAGATAGATAAGTGCTTCCATTGGCAACCTTATTGGCGATCTCTAGTTTGAAGTGCTGAAAATATTTGTATTACTTATTAGAAAATATTATTAAAAACGTTCCTAGTTGTATACACGATTACATCCTTAACGCAGGACTAGATGAACCTAATTGCTGAGTTTATTTATTCTTGTGAATGAACACCTATACCCCAATTGAAACGTGTTACCCCAGTCTCAAGAAGTATCTCTACGATCGCCCAGTGTATACGGTGTGCTGCTGTTCGTAAAGATCTAATATCGAATTCGCCTCACATTACCGTGCGTATAATCTGCAAAATAGTAAATATGAGGTTGTCGTACACGTGCTTCGAAGATGAAATCAGTCTCCCAGTTCTTTTTAACAAGAGTTTGCCATTTATCTGTTAGCACATTTGGAGGTGATAACGTAGAGCTACGTAGTTCCCCGAGCTCTAAGCGTAAGGTATCGTGCAAAATGACAAAGTGCAGCTTCTATACGAACGAAATAATGTTTTCGGAAAGTAAATAATACTTTATCAGTAGCGGACGCCATATCCCACTGCGTACTCTTACGAGTCCTCCGGCAAGATTTCTCGCACATATTCTACTACATTGCAAAATTTAATCTCACTTGATTATTCTAACCACTAAATAAAGCATTCCGTTTACTTATTGTTTTATTTATCGGCATGATTGGTCCTGTACCGGTTTAATGCGGATCCCTTAACAAGACGCTGCTACTGTAATTCTAGACTTGAATATATTGCTTTGCAAAACAAGTTCGTATAATGTTTCGGGTGTCGTTAGAACTTCGTTTCAAGGTAAACGCTGAGTGAACGTTTACTCTTTAGCATCAATAGATCCTATTCTTAATATATTCATTCCTATTTTAAAGTCGCACGCTTCATTTATTGTTTAGTCAAGTTACGCTTGATGAAGAAGCTAGACCCACGTGGCATTCCACGTTTATTTTCTAGGCAGTTATTCAGAAGAGAATTAAAAAAGGGGTCGAAAAGTCTGGAAAAAAATGTGGTCAAGTGAGGTTGGGTTTCTATTGAAAAAGTAGGAAAATTCGTACGTTATGATCCTTGATTGCGATGTTGTGTTTACTTTACGTTCATTATTTAATGCTGCTAATGGTGCCGATACCTCCAGAATGCAACTCTTTTTTTTCAAAGATGAGATAATTTTACGTTCCGAACCAAAAGTACTAGCTTTGATCGTTGGTTATCCACTACCTAGGTGTTATCGGATATTTATGATTTCTGTTATTGTGTACGCAATATAGGGATTCATCTCGTGATAAGCTGTCCTAGTGCAGAATCCTGCGGAATCATACTGCGCTCAGACATCTTAAAACCTGGTAGGAGTCTTCCATCCGGATAACTCCCTGCTAAGCGATCACTGGATCTTTCACCGAAAATGGGTTTGGTCGCGATTCCTTGTCGCACCGATCACTGTGGCGTGGTGTGCGTCTATTCCAACTTCTGATCTTTGATGGCAGCTTTCTATCAGTCCAAAGTGCAGACATCACGCCCACTCAGAGGTATGTTCGATTAATTTCCCGTTTGAACAGTCTCGAACTGCTCTAACTTGCCATATATTCTTTTTTCTCTTTTTTCTTTTAATTTAACGAAGAAAACCTTATTTGCTTTGGCGGAACATTTTTTTCACAACATAATTTATTAATCGGCCGTGACTAAAAGATTTTTAGATAGAGCAAGCTAGAACATCTACTACTATTGCAGATATTGCAACCTGACCTATATTTGCGACTAATACGAGCGTAGACAGAGTGGTTAACAGCTAAACTGATCTTTGCGTAGAATGAAGGAAATTTGAAAATGCGTGACTGCGGCGTCGAAATTGACCTCATGTCACTATCTCCATTTAGGTGGTACGATGCGTGACTGGTGCAGTAGTATTTTTATCCTGGAAAACCTTCTACGCACACTTTCGTGAACATGGTATCTGCTACAGGTGGAAGAAATAGAAGCTCCAAGTGGGACACACCTATTTGTGGGTACAGCAAACATCATTGGAAAGAATACATATATCCAGGGCTCGTTTATACACGCGTTACCCTTTCGATATATTTAGTTTGTCCAGGCAAACGGATAAGTGTATATTGCTATGGAGATTTTGCAGATCAGGACGTAGAAATTGGACTCATTTGCCGTGTCTTGTGTATGAGCATCGGCTCGAGGTTGTATCAATCTAATCTGTTACGATCAATGATAGTAGTGCACTCTGTTTGAGAACCTTAAACGCAAGTTCACCTTATACTCTCATGACAGTGCTTCATCGGGCTATTACCGGAGTCGTCTGCTCGCACGCACAAACATAAGCAGTCGCACTAGCGGTGGTCTGGTCGGGCAAATGTCCGTGGGTCGGGCATACGCAGAACGCGAGGTCAGTCGGTAGATCGCAGTGACCTAATGATCAGTATGCCACAAGGCATGAGTCTGAGCCTCTGTATAGGACTGATCGGATCAAATCTCTGGAAGCTCACTAAAAAGTGTCTAAATAAAACACAATCCTTTTAATAGATAGACAAAATATCTGAGGTCGTCAGTGTTATTCAACAATAACTGGCTTTATCACCTCACGATTGCGCTGTTTGAAATTGACAAAAGATGTAGCTGTACTCACAAACTAAACTGTTCACGAGAGTCTCAAATGTAAGTCAACATAACGTCATGACATGTACTAGTGAGCGAGTCAACAGGGATTCTTGTAAAACTATAGATAAGGCAATAGGAATCGATTGCGGTGGTCACAGTAGCCACTGTAGTGAATGGTATTCCCAGATTCTTGTGGATTAAATATGCATTTAGCTATAAATATCAAGATAGACCCTAATTATGTTTTGGTTGTTAACTAAATAATAACCGTTTTTGTTTATTGCCTTCCTTTTCTAATGCTTCATTTGTTCATAGTAGCTTCTCTGTTTCGATATAACACTGCGGTGATCGTTTAGTTCAGATGATAAAGTTCTGGGGGAGCCCAAACGTGCGGATGTCGGGTAGCGTTCGTGTAACATTTCGACACTCGTTGTCTGCCCTCTAGGAGATGAAAAGGATCAAAACAGCTGTCGAAACAACTTCGAATAGACCTGATATGTACGATAAAGATCTTCTCTCTTACTTACCTACTTACTAAATTTGAAAGTAAAATTCAACAGGCACTGCGGTGAGCTAGCCTTGAAGGGGAAGGATCACTATATGCTTAGCAAAAGAGTCCTATCTACACGCAAAACAGGGCATATGTTTGGTGGACGCTGTGTTGCAAATTCATTTATTTTCCATGCGTCTTCGGAGCCCGAGATCAACAGGACATACTGCTATCCGAACAAAACGATCTCAATAGAGCTGAAAAGCCTTAGCATACAAATCTACTACTAATAACAAGGACACATTAAAAACGGGAAGGCAGTCAACAAAAAAGGGCATTACTTACTTAACCACCAATTACCATTAGGCGATGTTCTTGTAAACCTGTTGATTATCTCCGTTCCTCCGAGACCTATCACACAACTAGTCAGTGATTGAAGAGATACTGTCTCATGCTTTTGAGTTAGTTAGACGAAAATAAGTAAATTGGTGTCTTTCTTAAAGACGAGTTTGTAATTGTATGTAGATAGTTCAAAGCCTACAATTTACCTGTCATTTATTCGATAAAATATTCCGCGCAATCGTCACACGCATTTGTCATACAATATTGTGCTAAATTAGGTCTATGTAGATATAGGAAATGTCGCAAGTGCTTTCACACGAGAGTATGAGTCTCAGCCGGGAGGTTATTTATACATGACATCGTTGCTATTGCTATATATATGAGACGGTAACGACAGCAGTAACTACAGCAATACTTTACGCATTGTCCTATCGATTATCATTGAAAAGGTCTATCTAAATGTTTCCGTTTGACACGCAGACAAATACTTTTGCAGCAAATCAAATTACGCAGCCTGTTAACGGTAACGTCTGTTAGAGCAAAAAGCCTGTAGCCACTGTTGGTCAAACGAGTTTTGCAATACCCTAGTGTGGGTTTCATGTATAGGGTGAGTCAAAGCCAGCTAGCACTGTAGTTTTCTTGAAAAAAAAACACCCATGTCTAGTGATTTATTCTGTTCCAATCTAGATACTACGAGGTTAATGCTGAAAGTTTCCGGGCAAAGAAGCCATGTCAATCGTTCGTCTCATCTCTAACCCTATTGGCATAAGTAGGCAGCTATTAGCGGGTTGTACATTCCTGGTTGTCGGTGAACGGAAGCTTCATTAAAGCACAGGAAGGATTTATAAGGGTCTATATAGGAAAATAGAACTCTTGGAGTTGCTTCAATGGCTGGTACCAGAAACGCATTCTTGCTTTGAGCGGTTGCATTTCTTCGAAGAAACGAACGTCTTGGCTCACCTTATTGACCTTATACACGTGTACCTTCTTGAACGATGTCGTCCAAGTCAAAAAATCATGCAGTAGGTAGAAGAGATTGTACGTAGCAAACACCAAAGAAAACTAGATACTATTAATAATGACAATTATCTCTTACACATGGATGTAGACCTTGGTACATTTTTCGCAATGATCACGCCACTACTCGCAGTAGCTATGCAACAACCAAAAGCAACGATTTGATACTACTTTTACGGTGGCAGATCCTGGATGAGGCGGAACTATGCCGCAAGAACGAACTATCCCGCGACGCTAGGAGCTGTTAGAGTTTTTGAAAAAAAAAATATTTATCAATCACATCTTTCAGCAGTACGCTCCCTTATTAGGTCGGGCGTCCTTGCATTGAGTGGTTCATCAGTGAACTGAAAATAGATTCGTTTATCTCTTTGAGACATTTCATTTTATGCATGTCTCAGTCAGTAAACATGAAACAGTGATATTTAGTATCGGTAAACGCGTCCAAGTTGTTTGCTATACGTATATATATATATATATATATATATATATATATAATAGTAACATACGCATTATTGGGCTTCTATTATGTATCGCTCTTGAATCAAAATTGAATGGTCTCGTATTGGTACGGTGCGACCCGTGGCGATGCAAGGCGGTTAATCGGCGCCATTGCCGATTACTTAACTAGTCTTTGATATATGACTGAACCCAGCATCACTTTAACTCAATGCTGGTGCAATTGGCTCTTGCTGGCTGTAGTTTTTTTGTTGATCTTATCATATTCTGTACGACAGAACTAGTTTCAATTGCGTAGCTTGTTTGAGCATCGAAATCAACTGCTTTCGGTCACTGCGATGATAGCCGTAGTGAATCATTAGCATCCTTCTATCGCCTGCGTACCCCTCGGTAACGAGAGTACCGCTATATTACATACACGTAATTTTTCTTAAACGAACGTTTTCTGAACTAATGTTTTACCCAATTATAATAGTTCACGCAACCGGACGGTCGTTTCCGGTCGACTTCATTCAATTACCATTTGTGTTCGCCAATCATCAGCGACCTTTCGGCTTCTGTTGTTTGTATTGCGTCGGTCAGAAAGCAGTTCCGCCCTTAAATCAATTTGAGAGTGGTCAAGTCTGAAAAGGACTAACTCTCTTAAAGGGAGTAATGCCTTTTGGTGGTCCGTTTAGAAAACAGGCAGATTCCTCCAGAAGACGATTCATTTCCCTACTCCTATCATTTGCTTTCGATTGGTCATTCGCCAAAGCGAGCTGCGTAGATCCGAACAGTTATAATCCGATCGAGCAATGTCTAGGATAAGAACAGGGCGCGAAGACGTTCATCGAAAAGCCGTCAGAATTTTCTAATCTTCCAAATCGTTATGAAGTCAGATGTTTTTATTGCGAACTTCTTCGATTCTCCTGGGCCTTTGCATTGTCGAGAAATTTTTGACCACGCGTGAGGCAAACTGCATTGTGAATTGATCACCATTTTGCTGTTATGCCCTCTCAGATTCCATTAAATCCTACGAGGAGCTAAAAGATTTATGTTTTATTTCCAATGCTCACGTTGTGTAGAGGAATTTTTCTTATGGCGTGAGCAATCGTACCGAACTAGTCGAGCGGCTGACAGTAGTATAGGGGATTTACATCATTACTTTTCATAGTATTCTGTAATCCGTGTAGGCAATTGTCTTGCAACTGACTTCTATCTACACAGAGAGCTGTTTAGGTTAATGGATAGAACTTTAACGTACGACCATACTTTGATTCTCTGAACGAAACTTATGCGATCGTCTCGATCATTATCGATTCTCTAACAGGTGTTAAATCCAGTTTAGCGAAATAGTTTCCGCTTGAAAATTAACAGCAAAATGAGGTTCCGTTTTAGATACGAAACTTCAAAATCAGTTTTCACGTATTTCCACTACTAGGGGCTGATTCGTATGCGCTTCAATAGGCCTGATGTAGAAATGCAAAGATGTTTATGTTAGCTAAATGATATCAAAAGACTGTCTCTATTTTAGAGGTAAGAAGGGGATTGGCGCATGCCAAATTTTAATATTTTCAGGCAACGGTAAATTGACTCTAAGGTTCCTATAGTAAATACATTATTATTATTTTTATTTCGTTTTCAATTAATCAAACAAAAAAACTGTTTCGCAAAAATAAGCTTTGTTTCCTAACAAATTCAGATAACTAAATAAGCTTCATATTATAAATTCATGCTATGCTCATATAATTATGTTACCAATCTCCATGCTGTTGTTTTAAGCGAGGTCTACAGTTACTTTAGCTAGAAAGTAAAACTTATAATGATCGGCCTTGCCTGCCAATACAATATTAAACTAACATAATAATCCACTTCTTCTAACATACGTCTCATGGCAAACCTAAAGCAATAATTGCAAAAAAATGGCAGAATTCGTATTCGGTTTTTTACCATAGTAGAATATGTGAGCACGTCTTAGATATGAGCATGATACAATTACTTCAGTTTATCCTGCGAGAACATTTAATATATACATAAAGGTCTAGTATGCATCCAATTTAAAATATACCGTTTGTGTATCGTTCCTCACGATTTCTCCAAGGATTTTCCTCCACTGATCATTTTAGGCTTTACATGAAATTTTGGGTAATAGAAAAAATACCCCACCGATTTCTATTGTATCGTTCTTTTCCATATTTCTCATACAAGTGACAACTAACCATTCAACTAATATATATATATATATATATAAACTGAATTATTTGATAATAATCAAGAATGCAGCCATGTAACACATAATATACCCTGTTTACTGTTACTGCTACCTTTTACTGACCAAGATGAATTTTTTCCACATATATATGTGTATATATATGTGCGTGTATGTTGGGTGTGTATGACGAGTGAGTAAGTGAGTGAGAGAGGATTCTTACACCTTTTTTTTAACATCATTTTGTGATGAAGCGGGTTACTGTTAATATTTCGTACATTTGTTGTTGTCGTCGTCTAGAGATAGGATGAGGATTCGATTTTGCAGTCTTCCAAAGCATCTTTTAATAGCATCAATAATTTGGCCCGGTATCTAGAACTTACTAAACAACATTGTAAATTGCAAAGTTTTCAACACAGCGGTTGGTAGAGTACAACTATATCCTTATGCTCTTTGTAAGCCTACCATAAAAGTTCAAAGGTTGAAATGCCTGGCAGTTTCTTTTAGACCGCTTAACCTTCGAATTAGTTTAAAAAAAACAGAGATTTTTCGTCGTAGAGTATAAGAACTCTAAATTACAGTTGCTGATGAAATGTTATCGAAATAGCATCTCATTATTTGAAGTTTTACAGACAAACACGCAATGCGTTCATTTTAGGAAAAGTAGATTGCAACATAATTATAACAATCGATTGTTCACTGGTGGCAACCTAAAATCTGGTAAATCAATCGACAGGTCTCAATGTCCTTTAGGTTTACAATATTACTACGTAGCCGGAACCGTTGCACCAAGCGCAAACGATCGATCCCCAAATAGAAGTATTCGGGGACCGATCGCTTATATATGGCGGGTACTGGTTGTTGACGACCCCTCGTATTTCCAATACATATTATACCCTTACGTATATATCTTGAGCCGACAGAAATTTATTTGTGTTTGTTCGGGGACTGAACAAACGTTTATTTATTTTACTCAAAACCACTTCATATCAAATAGTGTTCTTTGCATAGATGCTAGGTACGCCGCCCTTATGATGATGCGTAGTAAAAACTTCACATGAGCGTGTATTTGTGTACTGTTAAAAACCTCACTACGTTCGAAGCTCTAAACATGTGAGAAATTCAGTCAATTATTGTAAAACTAGCTAATTTTTATTTCGATGAACAGTTTCTGAGAAGCTGCTTTAGAGTAATGACTGTTCAAGCAGCGGACTCGATACCAATTTAAAAGCTGCTCTTTCAAAATTGATTTTCAACTAAATGATAATAATATGCACAGATTCATACGATGTCGCTAAGTGACGAAGTAGCCATTATCACGAGGCGGGCTCAAGTAATTCCAGCTGCTCTAGAAGCATGTAGCGTTTATATTCCGTTTAAAAAATCTGTGTATAGAAAAATGTATTGCTTTGGGGGAAAACGAGTCGAAGTTCAGGGAGGCACTGAGTTCGAACTCGTCTAGTTGCAACCAGACTAGCTTTAAATACCTTTAGTCATTGAGTGTTTATAGCGATTACTTTAAATAACCTGTCTGCAATAAATGACTAAGGAAAAGCTTTTCACATCATGATTGTCAAATATATGAATAGAAACTAATATATACAATTATCAGTTGATAATGTTGTATTTATACACACACAAATAGAAAGTTAGAAAAATTGAAGTGCGAAGGATGAAAGCCACACAGATAAACAAATACATGTGCATCCATTTATCTATTATTGTAACTGAGAAGAACGGAACGGCAAACTGATCGAAATATTGTTATATTCATGTACCTGGTTTTAATATTAATATTTTATTGATATAACCTCATAAATGGTGATAGCAAGATAATAAGAATTAAGAATAATGACCGCAATCGCTGATAATGATGAGATTGACAAATAAAGATTTGATAATATTATACATCGTTGAAGAATTATGTGTTGTTATTGTTATCGTTTAGCTAACCATAGTAGTTGTAGTACACAATGAAGTTGTTTAATCTACACACTAAGATATATTTATTGCCAAACTGGTGCGAAGAAGACATATAACCGGCAGCGTAAGATAGTCTTACGCTCGAAGCAGAAATACTAACTAAATGCATGAAATGATGATTATTAATATACACTGAATGTTCTATGATACTAAAGGCGGATTGCTCAAAGCAGCGTGGATGATTGTAAACGTTTGTAAATTATGCAAAGTACCGTGTCACAGTTGACAGCAGCTGCCAAACCCAATGCTTCATTATAGCCTTAACAGAACTAGCGTGGCTCCTTAGTTTATATAAGCAAAGGCTTTGCGCTTATATATGCATTTCCGATAACACCATTGTTATGTTGCTGTGGTTTCTAGCCGAGAATAGTGATAAATAATCTCTATTAGATCAACACCATTAGGGAGTCAGGGGGGAAACCATAACAGTCTGGTAGTGTAAGATATATGGCGCATACATTGCAATCTTCCATCTAAGCTCCTTTTGCCGGGTAGCCAAATATGTCTGGCATTTTCATAATAAAAAAAATGATGTCTCCCGCGTTCACTGGTGGCGGTCGATTTTTTCAAGAGCTTCTTATAACGTTGTTAGTTGCCGACAACCGGAGCCCAAATCAATCATTTTGCTAAGCGGCCACAGCTCATAGTGCACGATTTCTTTCCAGTTCCATCACACACATAATGCCGCCTTCGTTGGCATCAATCGAAGCTCCGCCGCAGACTGTGAAATCTTTCCTAGATTTGACAATTCTCCTTTTCGCATATTATGGTCACATGTAATCCACCTTTCATCGCGCGTAATCAACCGCTTTAGAAATGTAATAACATAATATGAAATAATGATGGCTTGGTTTCGTGGCAATTCTGTACAGTTTCACCGATGGAAATGCGATAGGAAAAATTGTTTTGCCTCAGTCCGTTTAGCACCCAAACATCGAACCTTTTTTTGTAGCCGACTTTCTTCAAATGGTTTACAACTATTCAATAGCGAATGTTTAGTTCCATGGTGATATTATGGCTTCTTCCGTGTCGGTCCCGCTCAACTTTCGGCATAATTTCATCAACTTTTTTCGTAATTGGTCGACCGGCACCAGGAGCATCCTTCAAATCTAGAATAGAAGCGACAAAATTACTTTGAGGCCGTTTCTTCCGATAACACATCCTGACCACAAACAGCACGAATTTTTTTTATATGTGCCTGAATACCATTTGTGCTTTTGTTAGAATAAAATCGTAAAATATAATAAATTTTTGCAAAAATTTCCTTCCTCTTCGAGATGATCTACCTTGAGTCTGAGTGAAGGTATTCTGACAGTTTTACCGCATCAGATCTGGACTTTCAAACGGTACTAACGTCAATTCAACGCGATTCGTACCACTTGAGATATGTCAACTGAAAGCAATCCAGCTAAAAGTCCCTTCTTTGCGTTTGGAAAATTCTCGCCGAGCGTGGCGTGTCAGTGAATAAAGGAATCGCTTAAAAGACGGATTTTTCAATCTTGGTCCTTTTGTTTAAAGGGCTACGCTCTCCGATGTACAAGAAACTCCGACTGAAAAAGTAAATCAACTTGTTAATAGGCTGGTTAGACTCACCCCTAGAGTTATTTAACTAACCAGCAAATAATCCGTATGCAAACACTATTCGGAGCCAGAACAATACATTTTTTTGTTTTTGTCTTACCGCAGTTCTCAAAATCCGGTATATATGACTATAATTGTAAGCTATCATTCATGAAATCGAATTTTATGGGCAATTCTATGAAGGCTTAAAAAAGTTCGAATGAAATAGTTTTTTCGTTTGAATGAAATAGAGTTTTCGTCTATTTAATTGTGGCTAAGATATGAATATTTCGAAATGCTACGTAACAACAATGCAGCCGCTCATTGGTTAGACACTCTAGGTCCACAACTGTAGTTTTGTAAAAATACCTATTTAAAACTCCTCAAGCCAAAAGATTTTTCTGTCTCTTAACGGACAGAATATACTCTACCAGCAGACGACATGGGTCCAATAGGATCCCAGTTGGGTAAATGTTAAACGAAGTGATTAGTGATACCGTTCACTCCATTGTAGATGTCAACTTTTTAATATGAAATGCTGTGTATGTTTAGCTCCTGTAAAAGAATGGGCAATTGTTAAACTAGGGCCACACGATATTACGATGATGTTAGACAATTTATCGTTGTAAATATACAATAATATATAACAAAAACAAAAGTATACAATAAGGAAAGGAGAATAAAACAATAGCTGAGATCATAAAGGAGTGCAAAAATAATTCAAGTACTTTGAAACTATTTAGTAATTGATAGTTAGTTCGTTGATGATGTCATGGATACTCGTGCTAGTCTATCTTAGTGTTCGCAAAAATTTAACCAGCTTCTTCCGTGATCGGGACTACTACGAGGAGCATCTGTTACATAGAAATTACTAAAACAAAAGCAACAGGACATTCTGTGGACCATTCTCTCCCAATAACACGTTCTGACCATAAAGAGAATATATTTTCTATGGGCGGTACTTTGCTTTTATTAGAACAAAAATGTACACCATGGTGAACTTTTGCGCGAATTGAGTTTATCTTGAAGGCACTCTGTCTTAAATCTAAATACAAACCTCTCAACAATTTAGCACATCTAGCTGAATATATGACCCCTGATGGTGGTTTCGAAATTTTGAAATACCACGTATCACTCTATGAGATACATCATTATCCACCTGATATCTTAAAACGCGAATAACACGTTGGATGATTAATGGTCACAAATATCACATGCGATTTTTCTTTCGCCCGGTCCTATAGAAGAATCATACGCTTGATTCAACTGATCTCTTTTTTTGTTCTCTGTGCGAGTAGCTAACCTTATAAAAATTAGCTTTTTCGAATTTCAAAACTTCTAAGCGCAGAATATGCGCTAAGCCAACCATTCTGTGATAAAATCTAAATTGACTATGCGTGTCGCTAGAGGTTAGAGTATCTGAAAAGGTTCAAATACAATTGCCACGCATCCAAACAAACTATGTTCAACGAAATAAGCGTATACAGAGACGAATCATACGAGATCAGTCATAGAAAGTACATTTGAGCTAATAGATTACTATTTGTTATAAATTCTGCGATCGTAAGGGACGGCTGTTGTAACGCCATCGTAAATATACCCTTAATTTCTTGGCCTCTGTCATTTTAACAAAGAACGCTTAGCCAAGGCTGCTTAAAATTAGATACACCAAGTTGTCAATTTGGCGACAGATTGCTTACGAACCTCTCTCATTATAGATAACTTACAAAAGCCACTAGGCACAGAGCGGATCTATTGAATTCCTTTTAAGTTGCAATCCCATTGGCTGTATGTAATGGGTTCAAATTTAGGAAAGGACGTTCGCACTACATGCGTAGATAATAAGTTGAAGTGGATCGATTTGTTTTTAATATAGAAAAGTCTTCGAGGTTTGGCGTTAAACGAGTTTGCATATGTTATGGGAAGCTGGGGAAAGGAATAAAAGAAAAAAGATTTTCTTATATAACCAAAGAATAAATGATATGCGCAGATTGTATAAATGAATTTTATGTTGTTCTGTGCTCCGGGACAGCAAAAAAAGGATGCGATTTCTAAAAAAAATATATGAAGAAAATTAAAAAAAAACTTTGTTTAACTTAAAAATGGGTATAACTGCTGAAATTTTCTATCATTTAAGTCAGAAACCGTTACAAAAAATGACGAAATATGAAACAGACGCGAGAAAAAAGTACTTTCGATAGCTGTTGTCGTTGTCCGTGTAGAATAGTTACACTGCATTTATAGCAGATAAATTCAAATAACAGTTAGAAGCGTATTGGGCTAGATATTATCGTATAACCACCTAAATAAATTCGAATAAATATATTCTACTAGTTAACCCTCTTTGCCTCGCGAAGACAAACTGCCCGTCTTTTTCACACAACTTACATGAATTGTGAGTTTCGCAATAAATCTAATTATTTGTGTTCTACACTTCATCAGATACCATATCAATCATGGTTCAAATCGCCCGCGCTGCTTCTTAGTTTCTGCGCCGGTTCTTCACTGTTATTATGAATTTAGACAAGCGATTTGATCCGCTTTCATCGCCTGTTCGTCTGTCTGCCATCTTCGTATCGTCTGCTTTATCCTCTCCCGCATAAACAACAAACAATCGCGCAGGGTCACTTAGGCCAGCACCAATTGAGGAGTGTTGGTCTGTTCTGTTGGCATTGTCGTCGTCTAGGGACACGCAGTCACTGGTGTTGGCAGCCATGGGTAAAATATTGAACGGAAAAAACCGTCATAGCAGCCGCAGCGCTGTAGGAATAGGAAGCTGTAGGAGTTGTCTGTAAAATCCGTCTGTTATATTATCACTATGAATTAGCATCGCAACAACAGCGGCAGTAGCAAAAGATGTAATATTCGACGACTTTTCCATACGACAACTTCATAGCATCATCGCCAGATATATATATATATATATATATATATATATATATATATGAACATAGCAGTATCGGCCACAGCAGTGGCTGTGTTATTATGATTATGACTAATAATGATTATCGGCTGATGTAGAGAATAGAGCGAGTGTGCAGATGCGGTGCTGGTGATGATGAGTAGGGCAATAAGAGCTGGTAGTCGTCCGAGATGCTCATTTATGTTGCTGCTGTCAGTTAGAGTGAAGACAACAGTGTGAAATGATCCGTTTTTCTTGCTGCTACTAGTACTACGATTGGATATCATTCCCTGTTTCTTCGTGTCAAGGGTCGTTGTTGTTAGCAAGTCATAATCAAAAACGTCTCCGCAGCTGGTGTTAGTTCTGATTTTGAAACAGAATTATACGACGAGTGCACAGAGACAATGGTTTCGGTGTCAACATAATATGTAATAAATGGCGGAGCAATGTCGATACGGTGATTGAATAAGCAGTGATTGATTGTAAGCGGATTCTTACTGTGTGTATATCAATAACGATCCTCCAGGCAAGCTCACAAGTAATGAAGAGATTTAGCGCAAAATAGTTTTTTGCGATCGAAGATATACAGTCAGTGATCTGTGTGTCGACGCCGTGGTGGCAAAGCACGCTGTGGTTGCCTATTTTTAAATTTGCCACGGAACGAGGAGATTCCTCGGCAGATCGGTACTAACCATGATTCAGCCGCATACAGGTGAGTTTTGCTTTGACTTTTCTCCTATTTTAGGCCACTAAAGCGTCACATCGACATCAAACGTTTAACAGTTACACTCAGTTCATCAATGATAGATTAAAATAAACCGTTTGGTTCGTAGCGGACACCAATCCATGTAAAAGTGGCCAGTTAGATATCGATTACTTGGTGACGTAGTTGTTCCAAAATTATCTGGCTGTTACAATGCAGAGCTGATAATAAGTGCATAAGGGTTACACTCTTATTCTAATGTGTGACATCACTGTTCCTACGATCCATGCTGTGGTCGTTGTCACTGTCAAAAATTTCGCTCTGTTGGTAATTGAGAGAACATTGCATGGAATTCCGATTTCACGGCCAAAAAATATTCACACATAATCTACTTTGTCTTTTATTTATTTATGAAACAGTCTAATGATGCTCACAGAAGCCTTGTAACGTCATAGGACTAACGTCGGCGACTGCCATGTAGCTCATGTGTGCTAAAATGACATTTTTCTGTTCGCAGAACAGTAACTGAGAACTAATACTTTAATTACAAATAAAAAAGCAATTTGGGTTCTATTGATTTATCCGTTCCATCGAGCTAAGGCTACAATAGCTCTTACTTAAGCACAGCGCTATTTCGAGATGAACTAAAGATTAACTGGCAATCTGGGACTCTAAAATAACCGCATTTCCTTCGCATTTATATAGTTAACGCCTAATTTACTCAAAGAGTAAAATGAGCTAAATGTATATATGTATATATAGCCAATTGAGCAAATATATGACATTACATAGAATGATCGGTCATTGTTGTTATATACAGACCTACAACTGCTGTAAACGCTTACTAGTTTGGAACTGTACTCTAACTACTGAAGCTGCTTTGTGTTGCACTCTTAATTTTAACGTTCTTGTCTCGGCAGTAGGTTTTTTAAGAAAAGCCATTTATATTCTTTCTTTAACTCGTACTTTTTTTACGGTTGCGCAGGATTTTGGAGATTATTTAAAAATGTTTACTAAAAAGCATAACTTTTGCGCAGTATTACTTAAATTGTCCTTCTCGGCTCTCTATTGCTTTTTATTTTGAAGCCAAACCTCAAGGCCGCATATGCCACACTCAACGAGGCATGTCAGGTAGGTTATGTCAAGAAGGCTGCTAGTGACAATTCATATTTTGCTTTTACTGGGAGCTCTAGCGATATGGATCGGATATTACCTTTGTCTTCTATTAGAGCTGTACTTTGCATATATTCAAACGAAAATTAATTGACTGGTTTAACTATAAGAAACAGATCTCTCATGCTGAGCATTACTGCAATAAACCCTTTGGGTTCATTTCAGAACATGGATAAGGAACGTACTCTAGTTTAGAATGTGTCTGCTCACTTAGATATCAGGTACCAAAATTCAAAGGTCAATTTTTGTCAAATTTACGAAACCTATTCTTGTTTGTGTATCACTTCTATAGAAGTAAATGTCCGTTGAAACGAGAACAGAACGAGCAATAAATGATTGAGAAGCCTTTATTTGGCGAATGCTGAAGATCAAATTACTTTTCTGCCGAAGATAATATAAATAGTAGAACGACACTCGATGTCCTTGAGCATGTCACATACGATGTTCAAAAATAAGATGGAAGAGTTTTGAGTTTGTTGCAGATTAAGTCGACATCTTTCCGCTAAAGAATTTGATAGTCGGAAGATGCATATTATAGAATTTATAATTAAGAAAGCACTGCACACCTGGAATTAAATACTGATTTAACCCTGATTCTGCAGAATTAAGTAAAAAATAAATTATCCGTCCTTTAGTGCAGACTTTTTTTCCAAAAAAAGATATGCGATGGCGTAGGCACATGGATTTACTCCTGAATTTTGCCCTATATAAAACAGTGTTCTATGGGAAACAGAAATGTAAGTTCCGCATGATTATAATTTGGATGTATATTGTAGATGGAGATGCTAGAAAACCAATTATGCCTTGCAGCAGGTCATCATCTACATGTTAGTACCGCTTGTTCTCAGTTTGGAAGGTCGCCAGACAATGGTTTCGACATAGTACAGGGTTAACATTCAAAATGTTGTCCCAATAGTCGATCTAGAACATTCAGTAGTGCACGTGCTAACGAAATATATGGCGAGTAAACTGACCAGCTCTTTTAGATGACGACGGAATACCTGGTATGCTATTAGCCATTTTACAAAGGCGTGTGGAGAGAGATATTACAGAGGCAATGTTGAAAGTGGACGTTAAAATTAACAAGGAACGACTACTTCCTGAAATAACCTGAGAAACTGGTAGCTATTTTTTTTAAGAATAAGAAACCACTATTTGAAATTAATTAAAAAATGGTTATAGCTAAACCCCAAGTATAGGCATACGCTTATGCTCTTCACTCGTTAGATAACTGAAAAGATGTTTTGTATCATTTACGTGAAACCAGTTTTCGACTAACTACTGCATCTGATCAGTTGAATGGCAAGAAGGGCGTCGCGGTAAAAAATCTGCGGTCCATGTTCTTCCTTCTCTATCGAATTGTGTCTTTTATACTGTCTTACGGATCGAGAAATTTAATGCAAGAGTTAGTGATGTAGATTAGGTAGATTCATATATTACACTTGCAACTATGAATTTTTTTATTTTTTAGCGCTAGTATAATTCACGTTATCTGTGGTAAGATACTCACTACTTCCACATTTAGCAGTATTTGAATGGCTCTTTTTGTGGACCATCATCCAACTGTAATAACTGAAAGTACCTTCAGGTAGAAATGAGAGCGATTCGTTAATGAAAGCCCATATTTGGGTTTTATTAAATGAAGCATTTAGAGTACTGATGTCAACTGCTATTATTAGTGACATGAATTTAGGTAGCAGCACGCAATGTTTCTCAATACCACTAAAGTTCAGTTCTTCGCCGTCCACTATCAAAGGAAACCTCTCTTCTAGACTATTTGTGTAATAGGATGGCGCGCTTGCTTGCGATCATAAAAATGTCACCATTTGATTATATCCGACTGTAAATAGGCATCATTTTTTTAACGAGCGATAATTCTTCACACATCCTATGTATTTCCATGACTGGAATATAGTGTAATTAACTTTAGTGACATCTGATTTAAAGACGTTTCTAATCAGTGTCGGCACTCATTAAATCTTGCGGTTTGAAATGTTTTTTTATTTGAGACTTACACAACATCTCACACAAGACAGCATTATCGCCTTATAGGGCGTGTCTTGACATCCGCTTGGCGTTAGCGTTTTAAGCCTAATAAAGTATAGATATGTTCAAGTAAACCCTTCACGCACACGCGCACGTACGTAGGTTCGCGCACGCGTCTATCTATTACAGTTTTTTTTTTTTATGGGAACGCGCCTGTCGTGAGAATAAAGCTGTCTACGAAGGGTAACTTTATCATCGTTACGCGGAAGTTGCCAAATCAACTCAAGAAATGGCCATCCATCCATCCATCCAAACAGTATATTTGCAGCTAAACCTCAGTAGGAATCTGTTGTCACACAGTCATTAATGCACAATCATTAATTTTTGTGTGGACGTTGCAAACATGATAATACTACGATTAATACGATAGTACCAGTTTAATTGTTATTATCTTCTCTCGTTGGTCGTTCGACTACTACTTCTGTAGCATGTGGTACTCGTGTTTCTGCTAAATACTTCGAGTGGCAGATCCGAAGCCGTTGTTAAGCTACGCGGCAGATATTACTTCTATTAGCACTCGTGTCACGACATATGAAATAGCACGTACCAGTTTCTGCTGAGCCTTCGGCGTTGCGAGCGGCGTAACGCGACATCAGATATATTGTATATATCCAAGTTGATATATTGCTACTAGACTTGATAAAGAGATGATGAGAAAGGGGATAGGGCAAGAAATCTTGACAAAGCTATATCTAAATAGATATATATATGCAGGTGACCAGTGACCAATAGCTAAAATGACCAATAGTAGTTATAGTGGTTGGCCATAAGTGTCACCATTTGATTTACAAATCCGACTGTAAATAGGCATCATTTTTCTAACGAGCAATAATTCTTCACACATCCTATGTATGTGTTCATGACTGGAATATAGTGTAATTAACTTCAGCGATTGACGAACGGACGAGCGGTTCCCCGGTACCAGCGCATATGACGTCGAGCCTGCGTTGAAATCATCTGGATTCTCTATATTACTACTTCAAGCACTTTTATTGTCTGAACTATAAAGAACGTTTTTTGTACTTGGCGATTCATATTACGACTGTACACAATTCCGATTTAGGAGCCCTGTGCAGAGCTCCGCCGTTGTTGTGCTCGACTCTTCGATACGACAGAAGACAAGGACTAAACTGGCGTGATCATTCCGCGTTTTTCACACGTTTCTTGCCGTACTCTTCAGTTGTTGCGCTCGAATCTTCGATACGACAGAAGACGAGGATTAAACTGACTGATTTCCTCGTACGTTTCTTGTCGTACTCCTTAGAAAACAGTGTCTTCTAATAAAGTTTTGTTTAGCTATTTATAGGTACGTTTTTTTCAGTGCTACGGAATTATAAGCTATGAGGCGTTCCAGACCAAGGAATAGAAACCTAGTTTTTTTTTTCATAATTACATACACGCATTGAAACACCATAGTTTGTTAGGATTGACAATTTCTTTTTGACAATTAATAATAAGTTGTACGTGAAGCCCATATTGGTCCGCTACAGTTTTATGCATACAAATGTTCATCAAAGGTAATTAACATGACTGTAACGTAATGCCACTAAGTCTGCTGAGGGTTCTTCGGTCTAGGCTTTAGATAACTCAAAAATAGCAGGAAAGCTGTAAAACCGTTTATACCAATCTTGAGCGAGGTAGTTTGTTTTTATTAATCCTTATTTTAATCGACTCTGATTAAGTTGTGTGCAAATATTGCGCAGATAGGTTTTAAAGGCCTTTTTGAGTAAGTAATAAAGGTCGGAATTGCCTGTTTTTTGGCATGCTGAATGTGGAATTTGGTGTACATT